CCTACAAAAAAGGGTCTACATAGAAACAGGGGTAGGCTATTCAGCCCCTTGAGCCTGTTCCACCATTTTATAAGATCATGGCTGATCTTTACCTCAAGTCCAATTACATGCCCTTGTCCCATATCCCTTAATACCTGACCTAACAAATATCTATCTACCTACGTATCTTGCTAGGATATTAAGATGGGTTGTATTATTTTACTCTCTAAATTCCACACATGTAAAGACAGAATTTTGGACAGAATTTTAGGTCTGATGAGCAATAATATTTATATGGTAATTATATATTTACCAACTGAATTAAAAATTAGACATTGCAAAGGATAAATTGTATAACATCTGCATCTTTTGTCTCTGGCTGCAGATTCAGACAGTTTCAGCAGGTATCAAAGCAGAAGTTTGTGTTTAATCTACAGAACCATGAAGATATCAACCACACAGTTGTGTTCTGATAGGAATTCAATTTCCAGAACAAATGGGCACAGCAGTTTACTTTGCCTACCCTGATCAGGACTGTGTTCCAGTGTGGCAGCTGCTAAGATTTATTACAAAAGATAAGCCGAGTGCAATTTTCAAGCTTGCCAGAACCCAACAAGGTAAAAATAATGATGCGTAATAAATTAACTCAACTTTGGTGATAAATATCAACACTGTTCTAGTAGTTTGAATCACCTACTACAAAATTGTTACGCTATATTGCCAACTTAGTCTTCATATGTGATGCTTAAGCTATAGAGGGCTCTGGTCAGGCTACAGACAGAATATTGCAAACAGTCCTGGTCACAGTTTAGCCCGAGAGGCCATGCAGAAGAGAGCAATCAACATGATCCCTGGGATTAGAGGAATGAGATAGGCTAGGACTCTTCAGATTTGAAAGGAGGGGCATCTTGAACAAGACTTCTACAAGATTCTAAATGAGACTGAGAAGGTAAATCCAAAATAGCAAAATTGGAGAATAAAGTTGAGGAATGTGGGGAAAGAGCCAGAATATGAGACTAAAGATGTAGGTTGGGAACTTGTGAGGCATATAAACACTGACTGGACTGGATGGGCTAATTGACCTGTTTCCGAGCTGTACATTTTATGGACTTTGATATAATTTGCATTTATATTGTGCACTTCACGCAGCTAATGTCATGGAGCACGTAACAGCACGTGGCTTGACACTGAGCAGGAAAGTTAAGGGGGTGGGGTGGGAGTTGCCGAAGGCACAGTCGAAGAGGAACAGTCATTCTGTTGCACAGATAGGCATCTCAGTGAAACTGCTTGGATAGTTAGCTCAGCAGATTTCCGTGGCAGGAGTCTGTTTCTTCTCTCGATTCCTTTGCAGAGGGACGTTTCTTATTCGACCCTGAATTAATATGCGTGTTTTAGTTTGTGTTGGAGCAGAGTTCTCGTGAGTTGGCAATGACGTATTTAAAGTTACTATAGGGAGTCCCCACTTTATACAACTCAGGATCCTGTTAGAAATCAACATATTTTCAAACCTGATATCTATTCCCTTCACTTTTGAGTTGAGAACAGTAGGAAAGGAAAACTTGCATAAGTCGTATTAGTTGCGACAATTACATTTAATATGACTTATGCAAAGTATGCAAGCAAATTTGCATAAATTGTATCATGTATGACTTAATCAATGACCTGCACTGTGCATGGTTACTTCAATGAAGACAGTTCAGAAATGGTTTATCTCCACAAAGGATGAAGTTACATGTATTACAACTGGTGTTGACAATGGTACAACCAAGTGAATAGGATTGAAAGGGTGGGTCTTAAGAGATAAAGGAAGAGTTCAATCTTCATGTTCAATTTTAATGGTGCAGATTTTACCTTACACGTAACCAGTGGAGCACATCCTAACTAGGAATAATAAAGACCTTATGCAAAGAATTATGTAAAAGGTGAGTTCATTAATGCATTAATGCACAATCATTATTTTATATGTAAATGAATCCAGTCCATGCTTTTTTTATGTATTTTATGAATCAATAAATGCCAAATCGTAATGGTTTCTTTGTCCCATATCCCAAATCCTGTGCAATTCATCTCCTAACTTGTAATGTCTCTACTGCACTTAATAGCTGCTTTGAATTGCTAGTTAACCTATCGCTACATTGAATTATAGAAAATTAAGTCTTGACTCGTCACCACATGGGCACTTACTTGCTTCGTTGCAAAGAAATCAAAGGGTTTTTGGTAGGAAACTGAATGGCACTCGAGTGCATGTACGACTTAGGCAATTGTATGATTTATAAATATAAGACTCATATGAGTTTCACTCTATATCTTGTCTTGTGCTGTCCGAGGCACTGTCTCGGTTTTGAAATAGTATCTAGATGATCAAGTGGGGAGGCTGAATGGCCTTACCTCATCCTGACCTTCTGTGTTGGTAGCTCTCATTAAGCGAATAAATATTTATTAGATCAATAGGCTGAATGCATTGAATGACGAGGATTCATTTTGATTTACATTTTTTTCATTGAATTATTTCCAAGATATTTGCCACAGTATAACTGTATGTGATTTACATTAAATGACAGTCCTATATAAACACTTGCTTAACTTAAAAGGTAATATGCCTTTATTATATTAAATACAAAAATGGTAAAAGACAAAAATGAGACAGATGTAACCAGTCTATTTGAGAAAGCTGATGTTAAAATAGCCAATTTTTTTTTGGGACTGTGTAGACTTAAAACGTCCTCTTTGACCACCCTTCGATCAACTTGCCCCACTCTTTACTCCCCTTGGCTCCTACTCCCAGTTTGAGTGGCCATCCAGTACCGTGGGATGCTTTTAGACATTCTACCAATGTAAATGCAATATAAGAATTACATATTGTATTGTAGACTTAACAATGTGAGTACTACAATGTGTTATATGTGTACAGGAAATTAGAAATGTAGCCACCTTTTCCAGATTATAAAACTTCTGCTTTCTTAATTTACAAACAAGATGTTGGAGAATATTGTTAACTTTGCTGCATCATTTGCTATAACCCAGTGCCAAATAGTACCCAATCTATCCGAACTGTATATTCCTGCAACAGTGGTAAGTGCTTTCTTAAAACAAAAGTATGAAACATTGGAGAGGGTTCAGAAAGAGCAATAAGTATGATTATGGTACTGAGAGTCAAAGAACTGGACGCGTTCTACACAAAACTGACAGAGAAAGAAGACACGATTCAGATCTTCAAAATGGTAAGAGGCATAAATGACACAGATGTAAGCAGTCTATTTACCTTGTGTTAACGAACTAGAAGGCGCAATTTTAAATTTATAAAGTTTGAAGCAGGAGTTAACATTGGAAGCAGGTCTGTTTGTGTCATAAATTTGTGAATCATCTCTGCAACCATTTTATTTCCCTCATTACTTTTTAAAAAATTCTCTCCTTTGAAACTTTAAAATTAAAGGGAAAAATATGAGGTTTACTAATGACTATTGGCCATCCCACATCTGCTGAATGTGAAAGAACAGCTATAATTTAAACATTCAAAACATTCTAAAATAATGATAATCCTTGCATTTGATATAGCTCCTTATCATGTCGTTGAGGCATCTCAAGCGCTTCATAGAATATATTGTAAACTGGATTGACTGTGTATTTTGTTTGCGAAATTATCTCATTCGATATAAAGAATGTTCTTGGTTGGGCTGTAACATATTACAGAGATACCTGTGGAGAGTGAGCACAGCTATTGCTGAAATATCATTACCTAATAATAAAAGTTGTCAAAATCTTTCTTTATTGCTCGTCATTCAATAGATACGAAAACCTCCAAAGGCGGATGACCCACAATCCAAAGTTCTGGAAAAACTGACTTTGTAAGTAATTATTTTTTACTGAGCACAACAAGGTGATAGGCCTTTAGAATCATGGGACAAACATCTTATGAAGCAAATCTGGAGATGAGTTTGGTCCAAATACGTACCTGATTATTTTTCAGATGAGTTAGTGCTGTCAGTCACAAAACATCTCAGTTTAAATTAACTTTTAAGTATTTAAAGCATGCTGTTTTATACCAAAAGCAAAACAGACCTATTTTTTGACAAGTAAATTTCACTGCATAAATGTGCAATTCATTGCTAAAAAGTTTTATAAGGGGAAAGCAAAGGATGTGTGAAGGTGAATTATCAATGTGTTGATTAGCTGAAACAGAGCTGTGACTATGCACGAAAAAAAATCTTTCAAGGTACAGGTTAATAAAGTATTCATAGGAAGGCTACTCTAGTGTATTGTAATACTATGGACTTAAAAAAAGTCCATTATTATTTCAAAGCAGGTTATTTCATGCCTTTTTATAAATGTTTTGATTTCATTTACTGTCGGTAGTCCAGGAAGGTGCGGGTGGCGAGAAACAAAGGGATTTCAGAATTGGGTCAATACTCTGCTGTGGTATCAGGTTTCCTGAGCGAGGTAGTTCAAAATCTACCAGAGCACTGTTGGTGACAGACCAGCTAGCTTGGCTCATCCGCAGGACTTGACAGACTGGTAACTGGGGACATGGATTCTTCCTGCTCTGCTTCTATTAACTCTGAAAGCCAAAGCCTTGTTATTTACTTTTAAAGGAATTATTAAGAAAAGCAATCCGCCAATCGACTATCAACTGGATTCCTACTGACTGCTCGGTCAACAAAGCCACATGGAGCAAGGAAACTTGCCAACGTTTCGCCGTGCCAGGAATCAAAACCATGTTCTTGCTTGAGGGGCGAGTGCTCAAACCACTAAACTACAGGGTACCACAAAGCATTGCTTTGTTTATTCGTCCAGATGGTAGCCAAGATTATTTGGAGGCAAAAGAGTAAATCTGTACATTTGTTGGTCAGTTCTGAGAGCCTTTTGAAAGCATATCCAGGATTGGGGTTCAGGCTAATTGAAGACAGTTCAGAAATGGTTTATCTCCACAAAGGATGAAATTACATGTATTACAACTGGTGTTGACAATGGTACAAACAAGTGAATAGGATTGAAAGGGTGGGTCTTAAGAGATAAAGGAAGAGTTCAATCTTCATGTTCAATTTTAATGGTGCAGATTTTACCTTACACATAACCAGTGGAGCACATCCTAACTAGGAATAATAAAGACCTTATGCAAAGAATTATGTAAAAGGTGAGTTCATTAATGCACAATCATTATTTTATATGTAAATGAATCCAGTCCATGCTTTTTTTAAAAAAAAGATGAGCAACAAATTCCTCCCCCATTTAAAAGTTAAACTTGAAAGAATTGAAGAACGGCCTTTTCAGCACACTCTGTACCCATTTTTCCACACACATTAATAACTTTACTACTCCAAACAGTACTTTCAACATATTCTGAATTTATAACTTAAGTGCAAAGGGACACAAAATTAGAACTTTCAGCTAAAGTAGCATTGTCCAATTGCGCCAAAGGAGAGTAAGCCTACTTAAGAGATTAGTGCCATACATGGTAAATATATCATTGATTTCACTGAACGAAGCAGGTTTGTATTACGATAGGACACTAAATTATGTTACATATGTCACAAAGGTCAGATCCATAGTGATTAAGTAGTAGTCTTCAGTGGTTCCGCTTCACTTTAGATATCTACGTTTGATTCGAGCTTAGATATCTAGGTTTGAAACATTGCTGGATGCTACTTTGGGGTTCTACTGATATCCATTAATGGGCGTAATACAATTCTACTGTATTAGAGTGACACAGAGTTGAGTTTGCTAATCTAAATCCTGTAACTTATTGAGTAGTTTCGGATCTGACATGCCTGAAATAGATATCAGAAATGGAATGAGCATGCAGATTTCTTATAAGGCTACATATCTGAGCAATGTTTGGGAGCCTAGATTTTCTACTGTTCCATACAATGATAAAACCCAACTATACCTGAATGCAAAAGGAAAATGCTCTTTTCAATACCCTCAGAATAAACCTCTTTATGTGGACACCGAAAAACATGTACGCAATTACCTTAGCAGAAACATTTTTGTATGTTTACTATGTTCAACGGATTTATTGCATCTCAAAGGGCGTACATGCACTGGATCATTAACAGAAAATCAAACAAATTTAAATAAAAAGGGTAATAGTTTAAATGTAATGTATTTCCCCACATTAATTGCAGATACATTTACTTGGAATGGTACAATATATAGATATACTGATAGATTTGAAGAGACAGAAGTGAAACATCTTCAAACTGCATAGCCTTTTTACAAAACAGCTGCCATGCCTGAGAACACTAATACCACTGATCAACAGTGAACTCTTCTGTAGATGCTGACACCATCTGCCAAGCAGTTTACGCAAACAACGTGAAACTTCCCTGGGAATCACACAGTAAATGTAATTTTTAAGGTGGAAAAAATGCGGATGTGTTTCTGGGTAAAGGTTTGAGACTACCCATTCACAATATAAAAACTTACAGACAACAATGTTCTTCTGCTAAAAGTACGACCTTTAAAATAAACATTTAAAAGTAAGTTAAGATATGCTGCTTTTATGGGAATCCAAACCCTGACATGAAACAGCTGATATTGGGCAGAAAAAGTGCTTTTGAACGAGCTTGTAATCCCTTTAATGAAGAGACACCTGAGAATCTTAATCCACTATTGTCTTTGCCAAAGTAAGAACCTTCATACTGCGTCTCTTCAATATTTTAGTGCTGGTTCATCGAGAAAGAATATAATATGTAACTTAAAGGAAATTAAATATGACATTTTAACATACGTATAGATATAAATATGCAATCTGTTTAGATAATATTTGTCTTAGCATATCATTTGTCAAATAATACCTCCTTATGCCAAGATGAGTGCAGACTATGGAAGCTTAACACATCAAATTTTATATTACTTTAAAGAATTATAAATAATTCTGAACATAATGCACAAAAAAACCTTTCCTTACAAAATAGGTCTTATAGAAAGTTTAACCCAATTTGCACGTGGGAATTGTTTCAGACAACAAAACCTCAGACTTGGAAGATTTAAAGGATGCAGAGCACATTAATGTATATGCAAATTGCTATCAGAATGAGGATTATAAGCTTGTAACAGGTATACAGAACGGACGTGACATCCTAGGCTCTGCAATTAAATTATATACATTTGCACTTTCAAAAATACAAACACGTTACTCCAAATGGTTCATCACACAACAGCTGCAAATCTGCAACCTAAGCATTCCAGCTAGGTACAGAGAAGCACTAAAAGGCATCAGTAACATACACCCACCTTTCAAGTTGCAAAACACTTAATCCAAAATACACGACTTCTGATAATTTAGGGCTTTAACACCAAAAAGTACACATTTCTAAGATTTACGTTCACAGTTGTGCTACACCTTTTACAATATGGAAGTCTGAATAAGCACTGAAACATAACTGGTGGCTTGCTTGAAGTATTGAGTTTTTAACTGTGTAATCTTCAGGGGTCCCATTATCGCATGAACTGCAGCTGAAAAGTAAAGCAGAAATAAATGAGGCCAGATGTTCGAAAGCACCTTGAATGTTTAGACTAAATGGTTTCCAGTCACTAAATGTTTTCGAGCTCAGATCCTTGTTTGTAGCACAAAATCTATGGCAAATAATTCTTAAAGTACTTTAAAGTACTGACGGGCAAAAATAGCATACCTAAAAAGAATGGTGCAAAATGAAGTTACAGCTAAAATGGTCTATTTGCTATTTAGATCATTTATTTTCAATAGTGCTTGAAATATAGTGCACAAAACACTTTTACTTAATTCCTTTTTTAAAATGCAAATGATGACTGAAACAAGGTTTTCTGAAATGCCACTTAAATGTCTTTGTTCCACCAGTACCGTCCTGTAGAGTAAACACTAAACACCGAGAGTAAATAACACAGAGAGATGCACATCTTTGTCATCTGCACTCTGGTAGCATGGTCAGCTGAATGTCAAATTGTCTATTGGGCACTGTAGCTGAAAGCACAGAATAGTTTACACCTTGAAAAGATTAAATTAATTTCAATAAGCTTTTTCAACATAAGAATTAATTATTNAAAAAATACAATTCAAACTGTGGCCACAAAATGGGTGAACAATCAATCCCATTTGAGAAAGGAAGTTCTCATTGAAAATTCCCTAATCCATGAGATGATACAGAGACAATCTATTTTGATTTGTGGAACCTGGTTTTACCTCGATTGAGAGGATGCAATCTAGGTAATACCAGGTCCCAGGAATCAAAATAATGACTATTGATGAATGGAATTGGTCTTATTCTCTTTGTTAAACAGAAGACTATGAGATGACCTAGAATACATTAGAATATACAGCACAGAAACAGGCCATTCGGCCCAACTGGTCTCTGCCGGTGTTTATGCTCCACATGAGCCTCCTCCTGCCCTTCCTCAACTAAGCCTTCAACCATAACCTTCTATTCCTTTCTCCCTCATGTACCTATCTAGCTTTCCCTTAAATACATCTATGCTATTTGCCTCAACAACTCCTTGTGGTAGCATGTTCCACATTCCCATTACTCTCTGTGTGAATAAATTTCTTCTAACTTCCCTATTTGATCCATTTGTGACTATTTTATATTGGTGGCCCCTGGTTTTGGGCTCTCCCACAAGTGGAAACATCTTCCCTATGTTTAGACTATCAAAACCTTTCATCATTTTAAAGACGTCTATCAGGTCACCTCTTATCCTCCTCTTTTCAAAAGAGTCCAAGCTTCTTCAGCCTTTCCTGATAGGATAACCTCTCAGTTCTGGGATCATCCTTGTGAATCTCCTTTGCACCCTCTCCAATGCCTCTACATCCTTTCTATAATGTGGGGACCAGAACCTGATAGAACTTTTCAAGATTACGAAGTTGATTCAGCCGCATTGTTCAATTTATTGAAACTTTGATAAACTAGGGGCGAGACATTGGTTGAAAATGAGGAAAGCAAAAGGTAAGTTGTGCGATTTTAGCTGGTTATACTCTAGCAGCATTCCAATGCACACTCTGGGGACCCCAAACCTCAACTCTTATGAATCTGTGTCAAATACTTTCCAGAAAAGGGGAAGCAGGATGCGTCCCTCCAGGGAGAGCGTACATTTCATTCCAATAAACATCTCTGGAATTTTCATGTGTAGGTGGGTTGCATGGAACTCTGTTTGGTTTGTATACTTTTAATTATGAAAAAATGCCACATGATATTAATATACAAGGTGCGGTAATTCATGATGATTCACTGAGCTTTTGAGCTAGCCCATACTGCTTTAGAATGCCTATCCTATAGCAGAAACTGGTGCAATCAATTTCTAACATTTATACCAATCACTCTTCATAATACATATATATATACACATATATTATATGCAGTGTTAAATACATACATATTTACACACACTAAATTCATGCAAATATAACCTGCAGCACCCACAATATGATTCCCAGATAGAATCTGGAATGTACCTTTTTATGTTTACAAGAAATCCTTGATGTTTAGATCTGCTAGAGGGTCCTTTGTTGGTGGTTTCTTGGGGCTCTGAGTGGCAGGCGTTGGACTTGGGGAGAGCTAACAAGGCAGACACCAGCCAAAGAAAAGCAGGAAAAGCAGCAGCATCGTGAGGCAGAGAGATTAGAAAGAACAGAATTATATCTCACATGCAAATTCTGCTCATGCAACAATTTGACTCCATATTATAAAACACCACTCACTGTACTGTATTTTAGTTTTTTTTAAATATTAAAGAAGGTACAGACTACTGAATTGATAATGAAGCCATTGACAATATTAAACTTCAATTTAAAATAGATCAGATACAATGGGTCTACAGCTCCTACATTGCTGGATAATGCACATCAATCCCACTTCAGAAAGACAATCTCTCTTGCATGCTTAGATTTTGATTGCACTTTAGTACACATTTCGGGGCCCATACCTTCAGTTCTATGACTAAAAATATTCCATGCAACTTTCATAATTTATACCTTCTTATCCTTAATTTAATTGTCACACAAAGTTGGTAGTGAAAGGATAGTCTAATCTTCTATAGGGGATAGTTTCAGTCAGAGCTCTTTCTTCGTAGCACCAACAGATCAATGCTGTTCATAGATGAAATCAAGTTACTGAATAGCTTTAAAGAGATACTATTCACCTGAAATAACCATATAATCATAGAAAATATAAAGGCAGATATAATAATAATAATCCTTGAATTTGATATAGCACCTTATCACATCGTTGAGATGTCTCAGAATTCTTCATCACAGAATACAATGTAAAGTGGAGTGACTGTGTATTTTGTGGGCGAAACAGCCAATTCAGAACAGCAATATCCCACAAACAATCGTGAATTCACTGACCTTTTTTTTGGGAGGAATTATTACCCCCAGAAAATGATCAACCAATCGACTAACAACAGGTTCCCACTTACTGCCAGATAAACTCCATATCTAACTTACTTGGATGTCTAAGCCCTCTCTTTCACAAAGGAAGTAATATAAACACGCTTCCTGTGATTGGGCAGCACACAGAACGTGATTTTAGCAGTGCATGCAATGACATCAGTGACATCAGTGGTGATGAGTTGTCCTCATCACCCTTGTATTCAAATCCCTCCATTCCTCTGCACCCCCCTACTTCTCTGAACTCCTCTCTCCTCAAAACGCCTTCGTTCCTTCGGGTTTGGCCTCCTCCTTGTGCCCTGAGTCCTCCGCTCCACCCTCGGCAGCCGTGCCTTCAGCCACTATGCCCCAAGGCTCTGGAACTCCCTTCCTCACTCCCTTCGCCTCGCTCCCTCCCTCTCTGCTGAAGACCTTTCTTTTCGACCGCACCTTTGGTCACCTTCCTCCCCCTGCCCTTGGCTCGGCCCCGGGATCCCTTACTGTGAAGCGCTCTGAGACGCCGTCTGGCGTGGAGGGCACTATATAAATCCAAGTTGTTATTGTTGTTGTCCTGGATGTTGGCCAATTTTTAGCAGCTAATTTATAATATAATTGCTAAGTTTTTGTGAGGTTCGCTTGTACATCCTTCTAAAACACTTAGAATTGTGGTAACTCAGATAAAAATAGGTTCCCCTTTTGACGGCAAAGATTCATCTATATTTTACAGCTACTTTCATTCTAAATCATTATATAAAGTCCCCCAGATAAGCAGAAAGCAAAATGCATTGGGATACAGTCCTCTTATCTGGTCTTATGTGACTTCTGACTCCCTTCAACTTTAGTACGACTCCCAGTGATATACTACCTGATATCTGCTGATATTTTAATATTAATATTTTAAGCATCTGTCTCACCCTTCCACTGCTATAATCAGTGCACTTGAAATTGAAATTCGTCCTTCTACACATTTTGCTTGAACTAGTGCAATAACTCCTGCGTATGAGTAAATTTTACAAATTATTGCAATAAAATCACTCATGAAATACTGTAAATACAGTATTACTAAATACTAATATCATCGTACTTTAGAAAGATAAATGTGCCTACAGCATTAATCACCACAACAGTTAGAAATTTCCTTTCATTAGTAGCTTGATTTTACTTCTAACTGTTGGTAAATTTCTCCAGCATTTTCTTATTCCTCCTTTGAAGAGCACTGGTGATGCTGTGACATTTTCTCAGTTAAGAATCATAGACAAGAACAATCCTGCTACACTTCAAAGAATTTTGTTTTTCTGTTTGTGATACGTTCAGGATTAATAGATTTCTGCTGTACAGCTTATCACTACAAAGGATTGGTAAGTCTCATGGTACTTTGTCCCCACCAGTCACCTCACAAAGTCTTTGAGCACTACACCTCTTAGTCTGAATGTTAAATCTAAGATACAACTAAGTCCGAATTCAACCCCAGGAATTTTTTTTCTCTGACCCATCTTGTCCAAGACGTCTTATCAGGACTAAATATCAGTGCAGTAAATGGAGTCAGCATTAAGTTAACTGGTTAAGATTAATTCCTATGGTATCTTAGCATCAAAAAGCAGGTCAGTAATGACATTACATTTTCTTGAGTATCACCTTATCATTTGCATTGATCAGTAAGTTGGTAAGTGACAGAGGAGGTACACATAAGTGTTAGTGCAAAGCAGAATAAAGCAGAGACCTGGTGAAAGAGATAACATCCAAAGCTAGAAGCTTTTTGTTTGGGAATTGTCAATACAAGAAATATACAGGGAAAAAAGTGAGAAGCATTTTCACTGAAAAGACCTATTTTTAAAATATTTATCACAGTTTTTTTATATATTAGCTTCTAATAAGACAAGTGGTCAGAATAACATTGTATAACACTCTCCGTGGGCAGGTCTGAATGTGTAAGCAAATTTTCTTCAGCTATTTAAAATTTCCTTTTGTCCTCTTCTTTCAATGCATTCAGTAAGCAAAATAATTTGGCTTTTTAAACTTTTATTTTGTAGGGCAGATGCAAGAACAATTTTACACTATGTAAACTCCATTCACTGGGAAGAGGTAACATGGAAAATTTCCACCGCTGCAGAATTAGCGACAATCTGGTTGCTGAGAAAAAGTATACATCAGTCAGCCATTATAGATATGTAAATGCAGGTTTCAATGATCAACTATTTAATGTGCCCTCATTGATTTTTTTATGCTAATCTTTTTTAATGATTAATAATATTTCTTGTTTATACCCCTTTTGGATTTTTGCTCCGTGAAGCAGTTTACTCTCCACATTCATTTCCTTCAGGGTCAGGGTTCCCTTTCCACCACTGTGAACCTCTCCACCACCTAACTCAGCTGAAGATGAAATCAACACGATTGACACTCTGATCAATATGATTTACTGATACTGACTGATATCAATACGTCTGATACTAACTGGTATGACTGACGGGCAGCCCTGTGACTAACTCGGTCTCTGATAAAAATCACATTTTGTTTTCTTACTGTTGTGCTAACATGTTGGCACAGATGTGATTTTTCAAGGTGGACCAATCTACCCCTGGTAACATAAACCTTCTGAACAATAAACCTTACCGGAGCTCCAGGTACGGCTCCAGCTCCAAACGGTGGTCTCATCATGGGTTGAGAGTACATCATTGGCTGCTGAGGCATCATGGACACACCTGCACCTGGGGGCGGCTACATTAAACAAGTACATTTAGTGCTGTAGCCCTTGAGGTTATCACATCACCAATAAGCAGAGTGCTCAGAGACCTGTGTATTAATCTGCAATACACATCGTCTGAAAATTTAATTTAATTTCAATATTTACAAATTTATTGTATGTTAATTGAATTTGCCCATTATTGGCTATTTTGTCATATCACATAATTTAAAAACATGCTTGTAAACGTCTGCCACTCACCATCCCAAATCCAGGGACAGGCTGAGCAGTGGGTGGAGGGCCAACAGGAGGAGCAGCTCCCTAGAAACAATTCAAAGATCAGTGGTTGCATGGAAGGATACACAGGTATAACTTGGTCTGAAATACACTCAACGCTTTTGCTGGATCAGCGATAATTTGGGTTCTTTTGTTTTCTCAAAAATATTTTGTCATTTGCCATGCCTCTCTCCAAAGTCTAAGCCATCTCCCACTGAATCCTTTTGTTTATTGTCGTTTTGGACCTCCGCAGACCTCAAGTATTGTATCCCCTCATAGTTAAAGCTGACATTTACTCTTTTGTGACAGATATTCCTGTGAGATCCAATGGGGAGATAAGGAACAAATATAAAAGGCGGTTTCACAAACAAACTTCATCTCGATCCCATTTGACCATCACCACCTGACAGATTACTGGATTGTGATCGAAAGTGACATTGATTTTCTTTGTACTTTTCCCGAAAGCACTGAAGACAACTGCCCCACTGTTGCTCTGGGAGGGTATTATTACTCAGTACAAACCAGGGTTGTACCCGTTGCCTTCCCGATTTCGACGACAGAGCTTCATGCCACATCTTTGAAATAGAATGCCAGAACATGCCAATCAGCAGCATTATGAAATCTGGCAATGCAATGACTGACATATTAAATTGACAATTTAAGGCAAAAAAATCTTGAATATAGTATAAACGTTGTTGCAAACAAAATTGATGGATCCACACCACTAGTGTAGGAAGCTTGCCGATATGCTGTGCAGTAATTAGTGAGAAAAAATATTGTTTAGTACAAAGAATTTGATATAAAACAAAGGAGGATACTTGGATTTCATGGAGGTCATGGACTTCTTTTCATCTAAAATACACATCCGCCAGGCAGCCTCATCCACCTGCCTCTGTCACCCACCACCACGCCCTGTCTGTCCCCCTTACCCTTCCCATCATCTGATCCTACCATGACCCTCATCCTACATTCCTTTCTCTCCCTCCTCCCTCTCATCCATCATCACCTCCATGAAACTGACCACCTGCTGCCTCGACCCCCTCCCCGCCAACTTGCTGGTCATCCTCCTCCACCGCCTTTCCTGCGTCATCCACCTCAGTGGGACCGCACTCGCCTGGTTCGAGTCCTACCTCATACACCGCCAGCAGTACATCTGCACAAACGGCTCTCCTCCCGCTCTCACCCGGTCACCTGCAGGGTACCCCAAGGATCCATCCTTGGCCCCCTCCCCTTTCTGATCTACATGCTCCCTCTTGGGGATGTCATCCGCAGACATGGGTTACACTTCCACATGTATGCGGACGACACCCAACTCTATTTTTCCACCTCACTTTGCAACCCCCAGTCCCTTGATGTTCTGTCAGCCTGGATGAGCGCAAATTTCCTTCAGCTGAACGTTGACAAGACGGAAGCCATACTCTTTGGCTCTCGTCAACGTATAAAATCTCACGGTTCTCACCTCCTCCATCTACCCAACCTCCCCCTAAAACCCTCCAAACCCATACGCAACCTAGGCATCTGGTTCGACCCCCAATTATCCTTCCTCCCCCACATCCAGTCCCTCACCAGCACCGCTTTCTTCCACCTCCGACGCATTACCCGTCTCCGCCAATACCTCTCTCCGAAAGCCACAGAAAGCCTGGTCCATGCCTTTGTCACCTCTCTGCTGGACTACTCAAAACCCCTCCTCGTCGGCCTCCCCTCCACTACCATCCATAAAGTCCAGATTATTCAAAACTCTGCAGCCCGCATTCTCACCCACATCAAACTCCACTCCCCGATTACCCGTCCTTATCAGACTGCACTGGCTGCCTATCCCAGAGAGGATCGACTTCAAGATCCTCAACCTTGTCTTCAAATCCCTCCACTCCTCTGCACTCCCCTACCTCTCTGATCTCCTCTCTCCTCAAAACAGTGCCCGTTGCCTTCGTTCCACCGGATCTGGCCTCCTTCTTGTCCCCCGAATCCTCCGCTCCACTCTCGGCGGCCGTGCTTTCAGCCACTATGCGCCGAGGCTCTGGAACTCCCTTCCTTACTCCCTTCACCTCACTCCCTCTCCCTATTTTCAGGTCTCTGATGAAGACCTTTCTTTTCGATCGCGCTTTTGGTCACCTTTCTCCCCTTCCCCCTGGCTCGGCCCCGGGATCCGTTACTGTGAAACGCTCTGAGATGCCCCGGCGTGAAGGGCGCTATATAAATCCAATTTGTTGTTGTTGGATTTATGGAGAGCAAGTTTGAAATTCCACCCTAAGTGCATAAATCTTTGGAACTTCCAGTCATTTTCCTTTTATATACCATAATATCAATGGTAATTCAATCAGTTTACTCTCTATAGAAGAGCAGAAATGTACCTTGTTTGACAAATTCATGGTTCGGTGTTCTAAACAGTTAAAATCGTCAAGACATTAACGATTGAGCGTGAGGAGGTTGTTTAGATTTTTTCCCAAGAAACTAAATGTTTTGTAAACCAAATGCTGAACTCCAGGGGTTGCCCATAAAAAAAATCCTTCAACATTCTTTGAACATTTGGAAGTTATAAATAAAAAGTAACTTTCCAAGCAAAAAACAATCTGAGGACAGAAAGCTCATATACAGTATACAGTATGGAAGTGGTGACAATGGTGAACAGAGGAAAAAAGGTGGATCTTGCAGGTATACTGACTTTAGAATTCTCAGACTGAATAATAATCATTTTATAAAAGACTAACAAAATGTTGATTAATACAAAGCACATTATTTCAAACATTTCTTTGATGCTTTTATAGTTACCCTAAAGAAGAATGATAATAAAAAAATAGTTAGTAAAATGTCTGCATTTTGCTGCACGTTGCCCATCTTGAAAAAAGAATCATTGAAACAAACTATGAAAATTCAATTCTCCAGCTCTTTGGAAGACTGGTGAAGTCTTAAAAGATTGCAAAATGCAAATTTGAAACATTCTGTGAAATTTGAATGTGGAAAATTACAAGTATGGTTCTTTAGATGCCAACAATTCTTCGCTGCTTGTACTCTTGAACAAATATTTAATTTAGTTATATTGCATTTTCTATTATGGTGCAAACGTGCTAAATACAGTGATTAATTGGTTAGATTAGTAGAGCTGAACTCAAGGAGGTGCAAAGGATTCATTTCTGCAGAGAAAGGAGAAGTTGCACTGAAAGAATGGCTCGCCAGGTTCATTTATTATTGTTAAATATAAATGCAACAAATGCACAGCAAATCTTCCAAAGACTTTAGAAACAGTCATGGTGGAATTGGTTAAAAGAAATGGTAAAAACAATAAAGATGAACCAATGTGTACAACAACAGAAACCCATATTTGTTTTTACAATTTTGCTTATGAAGTAAATATCCTGTCTGCAAAACTGAATGGAGAAGCAAAGATTTCAAATAATAATAATCCTTGCATTTGATACAGCACTTTTTCATGTCTTCTAGACGTCTCAAAGCCCTTCACAGAATATACTGTAAAGTGAGTTGACTGTATATTTGTGGGTGAAACACGGCAGCCAATTGCGCATAGCAGTGTCCCACAAACAGTCGTGGATTGAAGCGACCAATTTTATTATTTATTTTCTTGAGGGATTATTATCAGGCGTGTGGAGTAAGGAAACTTGCCCAAGGTTTCGCCCTACCAGGAATTGAACCAAGGTCTCTCGCTTGCAAGGCGAGTGCTCTAACCACTGAGCTACAGGACTCCTCAAAGCCACAAATCAAAGAACTGCAATCCTGGTTGCATTACATGCATACAGTGTATTATTAAGTGAATTAGCAGATTGACAGCTAAATGCACTGCTCAAAACAGTGATACAAATCTAGCACCTTGGCATATGTTTATTTGAAATTTACTACAGTATAATCCTGAAGAGAAATCATTTAGTCTCTGAGTGAACTCTGATGTTTTCCTTATTTGAAGGATAAATTCCACTGATTTGTACAATTTATATTATTGGTGAAGAACTTTTCAGCTATTTTACTAGAAATCAAAGTTGCAGGCACAAACTTTTTAAGCCTTTCAGAAAATAAAATGAAGTCAAGCACACGTTGGGAAAGTAAGCACTCCGAGACACGGTATACCTGTGTGAAGCCCACTATATAAATGCCACTTGCTGTGAAAGTAAGTGTCATAAATAAAATGTGCTGTGACAGGGCTACTTGTACACTAATTTGAGTCAGTTTCTTGACATGTGTGTTATCAAAATTAGCTTAGAAAACAAACCAATTTGAAACTAAATATTTTGTAATACTGATGGAACGTAGTTGGAAAAAAAGTTGTTTCCTGATTTTCAATTTAAGTTGCATTTTTTTGCATTTTAAGTTGCTTTAAAAGAATGAACCATTATCAGAAAATGCAGTATTGATTCAGAGCACTATAGGTTAGATGAAAAAAGTCTCATTTTAGTTGCTTGTTGGATGGTTTATGTCACAGTTCCTGTGCAGTTTGGACCATCAGATTGGCACTTTTTATACAGGCAATATTGTTAAGGTTAAAGCTGCTGTTCAAAAAGCAGTTAGTAATGCTGCCCAAAGGCTGTAGCGTAGAATAGGTCTCACTTACATAACCCGGGATTGGCCAACCATTCTGTTAAAAGAAATTGAATGTATTACTGGTTATTATCATTTGCTTCTAATAATCGTTCCACAACATGGACACAAATTCATTTTTAACAATAGTAGTTTCAAAGAATTTTAAAGCAATGTACTTGGAGATATTAAGCTATATAATCATGAGATTCAGAAACCTTTTACTTAATTATAGCTTCCAAAGATCATCTCACAGGTCATCAAAAAAGTAGATTAACAAGCAGGGTGAAAATCTGAAGTCTAGATACAATTGTCCATCTTACTAGATTCATCGATTGTTATGTGAAGGGCGAACCCAAAAATTACAGCATGACGGCAAGGTTGAAAAGAGTAAGAGACATGAAGTAGAGATTGAATGGCATCAAACACGAGGTTTAATAATCTCTAGATAATAAGACGAAGGGAAGCCGAAGGGAGGCAGAAACTGATTTACACAAATTTACAAAGAATGTACAGCATGGAAACAGGCTTCTCAGTCCAACCAGTCTGTGCCGGTGTTTATGCTCAACACGAATCTTCACCCATTCCTTTACTCCCTCCCATATCCTTCTATTTCTCTCTCCCTCATGTAAATGTCTAGCCTCCTCTTGAAGCATCTACAATATCTGATTCTACTACTGCTTCTGACACGAGTTCCACAACGTTATTAGACATTGCATGAAATAGTTCCTCCTTGGTTATGGACTCCCCAACCAGTGGAAACAACCTATTAAGACTGCTAGCCCTGGTATCCTCCTCGTAAACCTACAGTGTACTCTTTCCATCACCGTTGCATCCTTCTATAGTGTGAAGGCTAGAATTGGGCAGAGTACTTCAAATGTGGTTGAACCAAGGTTTTGTATAAATTCAACATCACTTCCTCATTTTTATATTTTATCCCTCTAGATATGAAGCCCAAATGCCAATGGCCTTTTGATAGCCACTACCTCTGCAGTACTTTTAGAGATTTGTGGATCTGAATCCGCAGATCTTGTTGCTCCTCCGCTATTCTTAGTCCCTCCGCCTCACTCCCTACATTGCCTCCTTCAAGACCCATCTCAAGACCCTCCTCTTCAACCATGCTTTTCGATCTCTCTCCTTCGCCCCTGCCCTCCACCCTCCTCAATCCCAACCCCCAGCTCGGGTCCGAATAACTGACTGTCTAACACCTTGTTTATATCTTCCTGCTTTCTTCTGCAATCCTCTTCACTGTTTACCATGGTCCCCAGTGTGATTTAATGTGCAAATTTTGATACCACACCTCCTATACCTGAATCCAAATGATTTATGAACAATAATGGTCCTAATACGGATCCCTGCAGAACACAAAATCAGCAAAAAAGTCAATTTTCTTATTGGCAAGGAGATCCTAGAATGAGGTTTCATCTATTTATTCTGTTGGCACCATTGACATGCAGCAAACCAGCCCTTGCACCTATAGGAAAAAGGGAGGTGAGAAAAAGGATGGACATTATACCAGCCGGAGACTTAATATGGAACCACAGGACTCGGGGAATGTGCATTCCTCCATGTACAGAATATTTTCATGGACTCTTAATCAATTCTAAAGCCAAACAAAAGTATTAATTTGAGACTTTACTTCTCCTAGTTCACTAAACTATTTACTGGACAAGGGTGGTGGTGGGGTGGGGGGGTTAGAGGTGGAAGGAGAGAATGGAAGAAGAAAGAGTGAAAGTTGGGGACCACTACCAACATGACTTTATCACCCATTTATTATTTCAGCTCCAAACCTAAATAAATTCCTGATGACCTCAACAAGTCCCTCCAGCTGGCCAACATCATAACCTGTACAAACAGAACAATGGGCGTCACAGAATCATGGAAGAAAATATCAGTATTAGCATCAAATAAAAATAGACAACACAGTCCACAGTCCTTCAGTAGCCCAACAGAATGTGCTACAAACTGACAGGAATGTACATTCTTGTCAACTGGAAGCCATGCACAGCCTAATAGAGAGGGAGAAAATAATGTGGCAATGAGTTGCTCTGAAATTCTGCTGTGCACATTCCAGAGTCTGGACGTGGAGTGACATTGCCTCTATGCTCACAGTCGGGGATGGATGCGCAGAGAGCTAGAGAAAGGAACGTTGAAGTAAATAATAAACATTTTTAAACACGAACACATATTAAAGACTAACTTAATACATTCAATGGAGATCCAAAAGATTATGCAATATTTGGTTGGTTGGCTGTATGTGTATATAATATATATTTTATTAAGATAGGTACCTTGTATACAATTTCCTAAATATAATTTCAAATGCAGCAACACACAGTGTTTTATATGTGCATATACATACTTCTTGAGGTGCATCAGTGTCTCTTAAGATTGATGGACAAGCTGTTACTAATTTAAATCGGCCCCTACCATTATGCAGAAATTAATGTTAAAACGACGTTCACCTTAGGATCAATTACCTGCATTCAGTAAAATTAAATTATGTTCTCAAGAGGTTGTACAGAACTTGATCTGGAGAAAAACATAACCGTGGTTATATTTTCACAACATGATAATAAAATAACTAGTAGGTAGTTATGTGTATTTTTTTATATATTATTATCTTTATTTCAGTTGTGGCCACCTTGGATTAAATACAGGTATATTGATAGTTACTTGCAAATTTTTACATGGTGCTGAGGTTTAAAGTGCCACATTGCTAAATGTTCACAGCTTTCATTGGAGCAAATTGCATAGAATCAACATCCATAATAAAACAAATGCTATTTAGTTGAAGTAAACTGAAATGTGGTCCTACCATTTGAGTGGTGGGTGGAACACCTGCTGACCAAGCTGTAGTTGGGGCAACCTTAGGTTGCCAGTTGGCTCCTCCTGTCAATTTCTTTTCAGAAGCGTTCCACTGAAGGTCACTCCTGTCAAGTTATTGGAAAAATGATAGATGAAATGCTGTTTAAAATTCAGTCATTATTAACCAGCTTTTTTTTGTTTCTTCCAAGTTTGAAACATTCAGAAAGTCTGGCTGGGTTTGTAGCAAGCCCACAACTTAAAAAAAACTTTCTGTAATGGGCGAGGGGGGTTGCCTGGTGGTGAAGGCCTGATTGGAGAGTGGCCACGGGAGCAGGAGTGAAACCAATGAAGTCCTCGGGTGGCTGTCCAAGCTGGAATGTGAGTGGTGAGTTAGTCGGTCCATGAAGTCGGGTGCCAGTAGAGCATTACAGGCTTCAGGGCTCCAGGGAGGAGCTGTATTTGATATAGCGCACACTTTTCATGTCATGTCAAAATGCTTCACAGAATTTACAGTCAGTTTGTAGTGACTGTCTATTTTGTAGGCAAATGCAGCACTAATGTGTACACAACAATGTTTCACAAACAGCCATGAAGTAACTGAGTATGTTTATCTGGGGATTTACTGGCCAAGAGAAACTCCCTTCTCCTTTTGAATAGTGCCAAGGGATCTATAATGTTCATCTGAACAAGGACAGACTGGAACCTTGGTTTAACATCTCATGAGAATGATTCCTCCCTAGCATTGCACACTGGCACTTGCTTCCTCCCTTGCCTCTTTCAATAAAGCTGGTCACCTGCACTTATGGTCATCCTTCCCCTCCCCACCTCACACTTGGGTGTCCACCTAGCACTGTGAAGTGCTTTGAGACTTCCTCCCGATGTGAAAGATGCTATAAAAATGAAGATTGAAAGTGTCAGCTTAGACAATGTGTGTTCAAAGTCAAGTATGAACCCGCAGTCTTGACTCAGTGACAAGAGTGCTACCAACTGAGCCAGACTACGTGTCATCTCAGAATACCAAGTTTGCTTAGGACTGATTGCAGCCAAGTTAGGATACAGATAATTTGCAACTTCAGTTTAACAACGAGCTGGCTGCACAAAAGCTGTTTGGCAGTTAGTTAAATAAATGCTTCAAACCTGAACACTGGTGTTTTTCCCAGTTTAATTTAAAGAAAATCTAACATATCAGTAAGTGTGAATGAAAATAGTTGTTTTTAAAATAAACCATAATACATAGAAAAGGTTTAATCTGCTAATCATTTGCACCATTTCATTTTGGTAAGGATCAAGTTTAGATTTTCAATGTGCTTTTTAATTTATCATATGACTCAGAATAAACTGGGGTATTGTGTCCTCAGCATGAGATTTGATGTGCATATTTAAAACTACACTGTAATCATTAAGCTAAGTATTAATTATCAAATCTCTGCTGAGTTTCAATTTTGAGGCTAAATTAACCCAACACTAAATGCATAAAATAGAAATCTAGCAGAAGTCTATGGTTTACAAAAAAGCACATTAGACAGATGTGTTCAAAATAATTACCTGCTCTGACTGAAAGCAGTTGTGGAACAATTTGAAAATAAATTAAAGTGCCACAAGATGATAAACATGCCAAATATCACCGAATGGAAAAGGATAGTTTTCAAAAATATAATTGCTTCTCTAAAAACAGGCACATGATTTTTTAAGACCCCTACACGCTTGAAGAATATACTTTTGGGACTAATCCAAGTCTGACATCTTATGCAAGTGGAAACTTTTTAACCACAGAATTTTTACAACTGACAAACTCAAAGCCATATGAGAGTTTTGTCAAAATGTGAAGTTTTAGCTTGTTGAATTTGCAAGTTTTTTTAAATGGGTGTATTGGCATAATTGTGCCCTTCATGTTACTTAATGTTAAAAGTAGAAGTTTTAATGAGAAATTCCCTATCAAGCTGGCCAAACAGACAATAACAATGCTGTATATTTAGACACATTCTGCAATACAGTGACTGTTAATATTCTTGGTTTTAGAAGGGTTCCAAAGGGTGAAGAAAGCGAAAATTACAGATCTTGAAGAAAGATCATTGCTTCTTACAGAAACAGGAGACATATGGCCAGTTCCAAACATGCACATTTTCAAAAGAAGCCAATGTTTCAATTTAGTTACAATCCAACAAAGTAGTTTTAAGCTGTTGAAGGGATGAACGTATGTACGATGGAATTGTAAATTAGCTTCATATGAATAAACAGGAGTTTAGTGAGAAGCTTTCCCTCCTAGAGAAGCTTTCCCTCCCTTCTAGACTCAGTTGCTTACGTTTGGAAAGCAGCTGGAAAATGGACAAACAAATAAATCAAATGAGGATTGCAACAAATGAGAAAATTCTGTATTATAAAACTATTATATCTGCGGAACCTCACTGTAATCCATAATATTTACAGCACAATACAACTTATATCTGATATAGCGCCTTTCATGTCAGGGAGATACCTCAAAGTGCTTCATGGGATATTCAGTAAAACTTACAAAAGCAGATCAGTTGGGATCATAACATTTAATATGACTTATGCGAAGTCCGAGTTGCAGGCAAACTGTACAAGTCGTATAAAATCCAATTTAATCAATAATCTACAGTGTATACATAATTCAATACAGCCAATAAGTGCAGATGCAGCGACAGGTCAAAACTACATTTCCCACGATTCAATGTGTTGAATACCTGTTGTTTTATGTGCACTTAGCAGCAAACATTTCAATCGCCTTGAATTGCGGGGAATGAAGTTCTTCTGCACATACATCGACAGATCAAGACTACGCTTCCGTGATTCAATGCAGCCGGTAAGTGCGGGAGCAATAGAAGGTAGGGGAGCAGCGTTACAAGTTAGGAGGTGATTAATATGAGTAGTGTAAAGAAATCTAAGTGCTTTTGATAGGAAACCAAGACCTTTTCAATGGGAAAAGAAAGGTTGTCAGAAAAATGACAAATCGGGATTACTAGCAGGTGATATCTGGTACCAGGTGATATTGTCAGCCTGGCTCAATGGTAGCACTCTAGCCTCTGAGACAGAAGGTTGATGGTTCAAGCTTCATGTTGGGACTTGGATCACATAGGCTAAGCTGACACGCCAATGCAGTGCTGAGGGTGTGTTGCATTGTCGGAGATGCTGTCCTTCAGATGAGATGGTAAACCGCAGTCGTGTCTGCCTATTCAGGTGGACGTTAAGGATCCATGGCATTAGTCGAAAAGGAAAGGGAGTTTCTCCTATCCTGGCTATCAATTAAAATTGGTCACTTACTCCATGGTTGTTCGTGGGACATTGCTGCATGCAAACTGGCAATTTTGCCTACAAAACAGTCAATCCATTTTACAGTATATCCTGTGAAGAGCTTTCTCTTGATGATGTGTGAAGAGCTATATTAAATGAGCGGATTGTTATTAATAGTAGTAAGTTGGGTGAGTGGCATAAACAGCCGATTTGCAATTTCAAATTGTGATATTCATCAGCAGGTAATCGGTTGAAGTCAGAAAATTCAGATCATTAGCTCACCACTATGAGGTGTGCAACAGCTTCAAGTGTGAATTGGCCTTATCTTCCAGTCACCCAAGGATTTGAATGACCTGTGTGGTTAGTTTTTGCAAGTGTGCTCTCCTTGTCCCATCTCAATTGGGATCTTGCAGCAGTTGTCATTTTACCATTCGCTGGAGTTATTAAAAGAATCTGTACAAGACCTAGTGGTAATGGAAAAGGCACCAAATATAACCGTCTCCAAACCATGAGCTTTTTAAACATAAAACCTGAAATCCACTGAAATCCCAGAGGAAAAAAAAATCCCTCTCTCTTAGAGGGGCTCCATAGTCCAGTTGCTGAGCTAAGCAGACCTGTATTACCCAAGGACATTGCTGGTGTCAGCCCAGTCAGCCTGGCAGCCTGGCTCGTCAGCACTGGCAGAAGTGATAGACAGGGACCAGGGATCCTTCTCACTTGGCTCCTGTTAATTCAAAGCTCTCCCAGGTTGTGTTCCCAGCTACATAAGCAGGGGAAGCTAGGCAGACAGTGCTCACAAGGGCAAGCTATGTGATTTCAGCTGGCTACCCTACAGCAGTGCCCCAAAGTACACCCTGGGATCGCCAAGTCATGCTTCTTACCAACTTGCACTTAATATTCTTTGGAAATAATATGCAGGGTGTGTCCGTCCAGGGAGAGTGAGTGCCTTCCGTTCCAAACACATTCCAAATTTCCATGTGCAGAAAGCATTTGGAACTCCCTGATTTGGATACACTTAACCATGGTGATGGATTTCCACATGTGTCAGGCATCTGACTGACCTCCCAAAACATAATTTGTACTGATTTGCTAAATCATGAATGTTGAAGCACCAACTTTTTTTTAAAGCCACAACAGTGTGGCCATAGGCTGTTGAACAAATTAAATAGCATTCTGTGAGACATTTCAAGCGCCTAAAACATTTAAAAATAACGGTCTTGAATAGAACCAAACCCACTGTTAATCATACAAATTCAAGTCTTACTCTGCTGAATCATGGCACTAAGATAATGGCATGTTATGGCAATATGAGAAGGGCAGTGATGTGGCTAAATGTACAACCCATTATGAAATAATCCTTACATTTGATATAGCACTCTTCATGTCAGGAGGATACTGTAAAATAGAATGACCTGTGTATTTTGTAGGTGAATGTGGCCGCCAATATCCATACAGCAATATCCCACGAACAGCCATAAAGTGAATGGCCAATTTTATTTGGGGGAATTGTTAGCCAGGACATTGAGGGAAACTCTCTTCTCTTTATCAATAGTGCTATGGGATCATTAAAGTCCACCTGAACAGGCAGGCTCTGTTTATTGTCTCATCCAAAGAATGGCACCTCCAACAATGAAACACACCCACAACACTGCATTGCAGTGACATATTAGACTATATGAGCTGCAAGTCCCAACATGGAGCATGAACCCACAACGTCCAACTCATGAGTTGCGAGTACTAACATCTGAGACAGCCTGACATCCTAATTAATAATTGATTATTATGGTTTGCTTTTAATGAATAATACAACACTAATACAATTAAACCGCTATTTTAGTCAAATGTTAGTTTTTTGCCATATCTTTAAAACGCATATTTTCAACATTAGCTGGGGACATTTTTGTACCAGCACAGGCTTTTTTTCCAGCTGCCACTATTAGTTTTATAGCATAACTGTTTCAGGATGTTTCAAAGACTGACCTAATTTACAAAATGAGCCTTTTCAATTCAGATGAAGTACATTTTCATGCCTCTAGATGTGAGTAACTAGTGCACTATGCACTAGTTNAAAAATGTACAAAAGACAGCAAAATAGTTGTTGATATTTCCTACAACTATTTTAAACCAAGTAGTTCACACCAACAGCAATAACTTGCATTTATATAGCACTCTTCAGGCAGGTTAGCATCTTAGAGTGATTAAAAAGGCTAGAAATTACTTTAAAATCCAAACTGAATGTAACTATCCCATTTGTAAATGGGGGCGGGCACATACTTAGATGTAATAACACAAATGGACAGAATAGTTATTTTTGATGAACTACTTCAATTCCAATTCCTGCTCAATCCCCATACCCTTTTTGATGCAAACTGTATTTTCATGTAATGCGAAAGCTGACTATAAATTTGACTTTTTTTTTTTAAAAAAGGCAGTTTTCATGGTTTTAGAAACCTACTAAAAACGTTCATGACAGTATTTTGAAACATAACCAATCGGATAAAAATCAATTAGTATTTTCCTGGCAAATAAAATCAGTAATCTGCTGTACATGTTAACAGAGTTGTAAACACCACCTTACTTACTTCTTTCCTGGAGCAGGAGTAATACCCAGATCTACAAACAGAAAGAGAGAGACAATGGATTACTAGAGCATTAAACACTGGTTTATGAATAGAAAAATAATCTTCACATTTCAGGAAGTGCCTCTTACATTGGGAGGAGTCTCAAAGTGCTTCACAGGTTTTACTATGAAGTGGAATTACTCTGTATTTTGCAGAACACAACAGCTAATTTGTATGCAGCAATGTCCCACAAACAACCAAGAGGTGAATAATCAATGTTTATTTGGGGGATAGTTTGAGACCTGTAGCTCAGTGGTTAAAGCACTCAACAACAACAAGATTTCATTTATAGAGCGCCTTTAACGTCGGGAGGACGTCCCAAGGTGCTGGACAATTGGGTCGGGACCCGAGCAGGGGGGAAATGGTCAGGGTGAGGGGAGGGAAGGGAGGGAGCGAGGAGGGGGTAGAGAGTCGAGAGGGAAGGTGAAGGCACGGTCGAAGAGAAAGGTTTTGAGACTGGCCTTGAAGGAGGAAAGGGAGGAGGCAAGGCAAAGGCACTGGGTTATGGAGTTCCAGAGCCTAGGGGCTGAGAGGCTGAAGGCCCGGCCACCGATGGTAGGGCGGTTGGGGCAGGGGATGTGGAGCAGACCGGAGCCAGAGGAACGGAGGGTACGGGCAGGTAAGTAGGGAGATAGTAGTTCGGAGAGGTAGGAGGGAGCAAGGCCGTGAGTGGCCTTGTAGGTGAGGATGAGGATCTTGAATTCGATCCTCTGGGGGATGCGGAGCGAGTGGAGGCGAGCGAGGGTGGGAGTGATGTGGTCACGAAGCCTGGTGCAGGACATTACATGAGCTGCAGAGTTCTGAATGACCTGCAGCTTGTGGAGGGAGGTGCCGGGAAGGCCGGCAAAAAGAGAGTTCCCGTAGTCCAGCCTTGAGGTGATAAAGGCGTGGACCAGAGTTTCAGCAGCGTGAGGGGTGAGGTAGTGCCGTAGTCTGGCGATGTTTCGGAGGTGATGGAAGGCGGTGCCAGTTGTGGCGCGGATATGTGGAGGAGTCTCAAAGTGCTTCACAGGATTCACTATGAAGTGGAATTACTCTGTATCTTGCAGAACACAACAGCTAATTTGTATGCAACAATGTCCCACAAACAGGGTTAGGGTTAGGATATGAGGATATGAGGAAGAAAGGACAGCTCAGGGTCGAACAGAACGTCGAGGTTCCTGACTGGCTTTGAGAGTCATCTTGCAAGTGAGAAACCCGGGTTCTATTCCCGGCAGGGAGAAACGTTGGGCAAGTTTCCTTACTCCACATGCCTCTGTTTACCTAGCAGTAAGTAGGAACCCGGTTGTTAATCGATTGGCGGATTCCTTTTCCGGGGATAGAAAGAAAACAATAATAATTTGGTCACTCAATGCACGACTGTTTGTGGGACACTGCTGTGTGCAATTGGCTGCTGCGTTTCGCCCACAAATATACAGTCAATTCATTTTACAGTATATTCTGTGAAGTGCTTTGAGACGTCTAATAGACGTGAAAAGTGCTATATCAAATGCAAGGATTATTATTATTATAATCATAATTAATAATGATAATAATACGCCTGCCTGTTTGTTGGCCATCTGGAACACTCTTTGTTCCGGGCCTACTCAGGTCCGCTCCCTGACCTGTTCCTCAGGTACATCGACAACTGTATTGGGGCTGCTTCCTGCGCTCGCAGTGAGCTGGAAAAATTCGCCAATTTCGCTTCCACCTTCCACTCCTCCATAACATTCACATGGTCCTTCTCCGGATCTTCCATTCCCTTCCTCGACTTCACCATTTCCATCTCAGGGAATAGATTATCAACAAATATCTTTTACAAGCCCACCAACTCCCATAGCTTCCCGGACTACACCTCTTCCCACCCCACCTCCTGTAAAGATTCCATTCCCTTTTCCCAGTTCCTCCACCTCCGCTGCATCTGCTCTGACGATGCCACCTTTCACACCAGAGCAACCAAAATATCTTCCTTTTTCCTGAACCGAGGATACCCATCCACTGTGGTAGGCAGGGCCCTTGACCGTGTCCGCCCTATTTCCCGCAACTCTGCCCTCTTCCCACAACTGTGATAGGGACCCCAAGTCCTCAACTTCCACCCCACCGGCCTCAACATCCAACAAATAATTCTCTACCATTTCCGGCACTTCCAGCGTGATCCAACCACTAAGCGTATCTTTCCCTTCCCTCTCAGCATTCTGAAGGGACCTTTCCCTCCGTGATCCCCGGTTTGTTCCTCCATCACCACCAACAGTTCTTCTCTCCCCGGCACCTTCCCATGCCAGCGCAGGAGATGCAATACCTGCCCTTTCACCTCCTCCCAAACCACTGTCCAGGGCCCCAAACACAGATTTCAAGTGAGACGGTGATTTAAGTGCACTATCACCAATGTAGTTTACTGCATTCACTGTTCAGGATGTGGTCTCCTCTACATTGGGGAGACAAAATGCAGACTGGGTGACTGATTTGCCGAACATCTCCATTCTGTCTTCAAGCACAACCCTGAGCTTCTGGTTTCTTGGCATTTCAACTCTCCCTCCCACACACGATCTCCTACTCTGTTCCAATGAGCCACAGTGCAAGCTCGAGGAACAGTACCTCATTTAGCTGCTAGGAACCTTACAGCCCTCTGGCCTCAATATTGATTTCAACAATTTCAGACCATAAAAGCTCACCTTCCCCCTCCCCCTCTTCTGTCACCATTATCACATCATTTGGATCCCAGACACACTTTTCTCTCTCTGGTCTGCCTATTTTGTTGCAATCTTTCCTNCCCCCTTTGTTCTGCAGTATTAACACCTCTATTCTCTTGCTTTGTTGCAATCGCCCCCTTTGTTTTGCATCATTCGATTTCAAGATCCTCACCCTCGTATTCAAGTCCCTGCACTCCTCTGCACCCCACTACCTCTCTGACCTCCTCTCTCCTCAGCACAGTACCCGTTGCCTTCGTTCCTCCGGGTCTGGCCTCCTCCTTGTCCCCGAGTCTTCCGCTCCACCCTCGGCGGCCGGGCCTTCAGTCACTATGCCCTGAGGCTCTGGAACTGCCTTCTTCACTCCCTTCGTCTCGCCTCCCTCCCTTCCCATTTTCAGGTCTCTGCTTTTCGACCGCGCCTTCGGTCACCTTCCTCCCCCTCCCCCTGGCTCGGTCCTGGGATCCGTTACTGTAAAGCGCTCTGAGACGCCGTCTGGCGTGGAGGGTGCTATATAAATCCAAGTTGTTGTTGTTATCATTAACACCTCTTTAATCCATCATCCTCTGTCCTCTACCCCATTTTCTCTTTTGTCTTCTTTGCCCTGCCTCCCCCCTCTCTGTTAGCCCTTAAAAGCCTCACCCTCCCAACATGCCCCAGTTCTGACGAAGGGTCGTGGACCCAAAACATTGACTCATTTTCCTTTCTCCATAGATGCTGCCTGACCTGCTGAGCGTTCCCAGCATCTTCTGTTTTTTTTTCCAGATTTCCAGCATCTGCAGTATTTTGCCTTTTTTTTATTATTATTGTTATTGTTCGCTAGGATACCTGGAGTTATTCCCTTCTTTTTTTCAATCGTGCCATGGCACCTCCATTGCCCATCTGACAGGCAAAAGGTACTTCAGTTTAACAACAACTACTTAATAATAATAATAATCCTTGCATTTGATATAGCGCTTTTCACGTCTTCTAGACGTCTCAAAGTGCTTCACAGAATATACTTTAAAGTGAATTGACTGTATATTTGTGGGCGAACGCGGCAGCCAATTGCACACAGCAGTGTCCCGCAAACAGTCGTAGATTGAAAATGACCAATTTATTATTATTTTTTGTTTTGGAGGGATTATTATCAGGCGTGTGGAGTAAGGAAAACTTGCCCAAGGTTTCGCCATGCATGGAATTGAATCCAGGTGTCTTGCTTGCAAGGCGAGTGCTCTAACCACTGAGCTACAGGACTCCACATTCTTGCATTCATATAGCACCCATCACGTGGGGTAGCATCTCAGAACCCTTAACAACTCATCCGAAGAACGGCACCTCTAACACTGCATTGGAGTGTCAGCCTAGACTAAGTTCAAAGTCCTTTTACCCGCCACAAGTAATTATTAATATCTTGACCCTTGTATGTAATAAACCCCATCTTGACCCTTGAATGTAATAAACCCCATTGAATAGGGTAAAACCAATCCGGGAAATAAATACATTTCGAAGTGATTTCAAAATTATATTCTTCCATACAGCAAGCTACAAGTAAGTCTCCTCTAACGTTAATCTTCAGGGGAGACATCTCAATAAAGATTCAGTAGTTAAGTCACTAAACCCAGTTCCCTTTGTGATTCACAGGAATAATTTAAAGCTAAGTTAACTTAAGAAAAAAGTTTATTTTTCTATTAAAAAAGGACAATGACAGAGGATATCATTTAACGACTGCATTGAAAAACCATTTAAAAAAATACTCTTGCATATCCCTGACCCAGTTGGTTGTAAACTTTAAAGAATTTTTGGGGTGTTTTAAGGTTAAAAATGAGTTAAAACTATACTCTTGGCAAATGAAAATATTAACCTACCACTATTCTGGCCAAAAGTCACCTCCAAATAGTTGGAAGAATGGACACAAGATTATCACTGGCACTATATCCCCTTGAACTGCTGAATATTTAAATGTTGCAGAACACCAGAGTGATACACAACAACTTCCATTTATATAGCGCCCTTCACCCAGTGTAGCATGTCTGAGCGCTGCTTATCCTCCAAATGACTCATAAGCATGACAAATTGGTCTTGTATCCTACATTTTCTTTTTCGAAGGGGGATGGGTGGGAGAGAAGGACAATTGTCAGCAGGAGACCCCACCCCTAACCTAACTTCCTGCTGAACTAAGGTAAGTCTCAAAAGGAGGAGAACCGTTGATGCAAGTTGAATTGCTTATAGCATGCCTACAAGCTGAATTGAATATTGTAGAGCTATTAATACACATCTGTTAATGATATCCCGTAAACAAGTGTCCAACTTACTTCCTACAAGATTTGCAAGAGAGGAATCCAGGTCACCTCCAAGGCCTTTTGCTGATGATTGCATTCCAGCAACTGTTGGCATCCCGGAAGGCATTGCTTGACCCTGTGCTGCCATAGTGGGCATAAGAAGATCACCTAATCCATCAAAAACTTTGGAAATAGAAAGAATGCGTTAATATCATGGGAGTGGAACATTCAATATTCTATATTGAATTCAAATTTATTTTTCTGTAAAATTAAATTTACATCACGCAGGGAAGATTCGATAAATAGACAGTATAACTTGGGTATACAGTCAAAACATTTACGGTGTTTCACATAACTATAAAATCGACACACTGAGAACTGTCAGAATTTAATAAGATGCTCAAATTACTGACAATTTAATTTAATATTGAGGCCAGAGTACATATGTATGTTGGAATGATAATAGGAGTGCAAAGAGTGGTCTGGTAGTGCTGTGAAATGAGATAGGTGCACATTGAAACTGCAGGTCATCACAGGATATTCAGTCAGTCTTTCGGCACCTTTCAAAGTGGAGTGTTCCACTCTGTCCTTGTCAAGGTCACGATAGTAATATAATTATGCTTTGCCTTCCAAACGTTTTGCAGAAATTTGAATTAATTGCGCCTCACCACCCTCACCAAATAACCCAGATGTGAATGGGATCCGACTCGGGAATGGAATAAGTCTTTTTAGAATCAAAATTACTAGCGTGCAATGTAGTTTCTCCTTAACAACATGAGGAGAAAAATATTTTCTGGTGGAATGGATTTACATAACCTAGGACTCCATGCATCAATTTGCAGAGCCCCATAGCGTAGTGGTTAGCACGTTTGCCTCGCAAGCAAGAGGACACGAGTTCCATTCCCGGGCGGGGTGAAACGTTAGGCACGTTTCCTTACTCACACATCTCTATTTATTTTAGCAATAAGTAGGAACTCGGTTGTTAGTCGATTGGAGGATCGCTTTTCCGGGGGTAATCATCCCTTTAGAAAAATGTCACTCAAATCCATCGATTATTTGTGAGACACTGCTGTGAGCAGTTGGCTTCTGCGTTTTGCCCTCAAAATACACAGTCAATATATTCTGTGAAGCACTTCAAGGTGTCTCAATGACATGATAATGTGCAAATGCAAGGATTATTATAGTGCAGGTACTGGTCAAGTTAAACACTGTGCTCAAGTCTGATAATAACAAACTTGCAAAAGCCGGTTTGCACAGAGCAGTGTCACACAAGCAGCCATGGAATGAGTGATCAATCGTTTTATTGGGAGGATTTGTTGGCCAGCACACCGGGAGAAACTCCCTTTCTGTTTTCGAATAACGCCATAGGATCTATAACATCCACCCGAATGGGCAGACAGGACTCAGTTTCATGTCTCATCCTAAAGTCGGCTCGTCCAACAATGCAACACCCCCCAGTGCTACATTAGAGTGTCATTTTAGATATGTGATTCCGAATCCTGACATAAGGGGTTGAAACTACAATCTTCTGACTCAGAGACTAGAGTGCTACCTCTACTCCAGACTGACACAACTGACATATCTATTAAACAAATGGCAAGATTAATCAGATAGAATTTCTTTAATAGTTATATCATATTGATTATGCATATTATCAAAACAGGGACAGCATTTTTTTCTTTTTAACTGATTCGTCATATTTGTTGCATGTTAATCTTTCCACTTATAGCTCAAGCAGCACTGCAGCATACAATGTGGCAACTGTGCGTATCTGATCATTGTACAAATTAAGCCAAGTCAGTTTTAAGGCAAAAAACTCACCAATAATGAAACCGTGGCAAACAAGGACCCAACGTTGATGGTGTGAAATGGAAGAGAAATAAAAGGTGACAGCACTGTTAAGAACTGAGAGCTATAGCTCAATACTGAACAGCAGTTGTTGCATTAGAGTACGTTCTTTACAGCAGAAGCAAAATCATGCAGAATTCTTAATTTTAGATAGCAACTATTCAGCCCTGGCAAATACTGAGAGTAACGAAGGTGCCACTATTTAACTGTGATTAGAAACAGAATCTTCAAGATCCATCCTAACTCTCATGCAGCTTTGACGTACAAAAAATGGACACTATTGTAGTTAGCAAGTGTCTATTCTTCATTCATCTATTAAACAAACGCAATCCTTTGAGTACTGAAATAACTGCAAGCATTTCGCAATGCAATTCTCTTTATAAACATAGCATTTAAAATTTATTTTACAGTATATATTGTTTTTATGTTTTTTTAAAAGTACAATACTCAAAGGACTTACACAATACGTATATTACTGACCTCTTTCACATGTTTACATTCGAAATATAGTATTTCAAATGGTTAGTAACTATCTTTCCTAATAGGATACGAAATATGGTAAGCTATCAGACAATCAAGCACATTTCAAACACTGTGTAAAACTGTACTCTTGAAAGATACATTCAAATTTAATATGTAAGAATTTGTTCTTGCATTAATATTCTGCTCTGAAGTTTTACATGAATATCCCTTTCCCAGCACTTTGAGAGTCACCTGCTAAATGACAAATTGGCAAGTAAACCAAAGAGGACATGACTGGAATTCAATCTTTATCTCTGTTGGGAGATGAAAGTTTGCTTTATATTGAAACTCTGAAACAGGCCAGTATTTATTAAAGTTGCAATCCAGTCAAATAAAGTTGCAAATCCATCAAGCTGTTTTGAATACATTACGAGCTTCCCCCCTCAATCCCTTACCAAGAAAGCAATACATTGATTTACTTGTTTTACCTGATGCATCAAAAGTCCCGCCTGTGGTTGTCATACCAAATGCTGCTTCAAAGTTGGGCTGCAAAACATTGTTTTGAACTGCAGGCAAAGGTGCAGCAGGTGATGCCATAAATGCATTTCCAAAGCCTTAGAGAAACAAACAACAAACGTAAGTATGGTACTGCCACACCAAGTGTGTTCTGTTCTTTATGGTTATGAATAGTATTGAGAGGGATTACACTGATTTCTAACAAACACTTTGTGAATAGACAGACATTTCAACAACAACAAAATTACATTTGTAGCGCGCCTTTCCGTCGGGAGGACGTCGCAAGGCGCTGAACAGTCAGGGGTCAGGACCCAAGCATGGGGTAGGGGTGGGGTTGGGGTGAGCGAAGGCAGAGAGGTGGGAGGGCGATTGAAGGCACGATCGAAGTGGAGGGTCTTGAGACTGGCCTTGAAGGATGCGAGGGAGGAAGCGAGGTGAAGGACTGTGGGATGGATTTCCAGAGTGTGGGGACAGAGAGGCTGAAAGCCCGGCCACCGATGGTAGGGCGGGTCGGGCGGGAGACATGGAACAGCCCGGAGCCCACTGATCGGAGGGAGCTGGCAGGTTGGTAGGGAGTCAGCAGGTCAGAGAGGTAGGAGGGGGTAAGGCCATGGATGGCCTTGAAAGTGAGGATGAGGATCTTGAACTCAATCCTCTGGGGGAGCCAGTGGAGTCGGGCGAGGGTGGCAGTGATGGGGTTGCGGAGCCTGGTGCGCGAGAGTTCACAAGCTGCAGTTTTGGATGAACTGCATCTTGTGACAGGAAGAGTTGGAAAAGCCAATGAGGAGGGAGTTTCCATAATGGAGCCTTGATGTGCCGAATGCGTGAGTGAGGGTTTCGGCAGCCTGAGGGGTGAGGCAGTGGCGGAGTCTGGCAATGTTGCGGAAGTGGTGGTAGGCAGTGCTGGTCATGGAGCAGATGTGGGGGAGAAAGGACAGTTCAAGGTCAAACAAGACACCCAGGTTCCTGACTGGCTTAGTGAGGTTGAATGTGCAGCCGTGGAGGCTGATGCTGCCAGTGCATCAGGCGCTAGCTTGAGCCAATCAGGAGGGTCTCGGTCTTGCTGACGTTCAGTTGGAGAAAGTTGTCCCTCGTCCAGGACTTGATGTCGGACAGGCAGTCGGTCAGGACGCCAGTAGTCCTGGAATTGAGGGTGGAGGCAGAGAGACAGAGTTGGGTGTCATCGGCATATATGTGGAAATTTACCCCATGTCTGCGGATGATGTCACCAAGGAGAGGGTGAAGAGGAGGGGACCGAGGACAGAGCCCTGAGTAACGCAGCATGAAACGGTGCGGGGGCTGGAGGAGAAGCCGTTTGCAGAGACGAAGTGGAGGCAGTGTGAAAGGTAGGACGTGAACCAGTCAAGGACAGAACCTTGAAGATTGAGGTGAGAGGAGAGGTGGTGGAGGAGGATTGAGTGGTCCACAGTATCAAAAGGGGCGGAGAGGTCGAGGAGGACGAGGAGGCAGAAGGAGCCCTGGTCACACATGGTCAGGATGTCATTTGTGACCTTGACCTTGTGGGCAGCACGGAAACCCAATTGGAGGGGCTCATGGAGGGAGTGGGAGGAGAGGAAAGAGCAAAGCTGGGAGGCAATGGCTCTCTCAAGGACCTTAGACAGAAAAGGGAGGTGGGGGAGATGGGCCAGTAGCTGGATAGCTGTAATAAGTCAAGGGAAGGTTTCTTCAAGGTGGGGGTGATAGTGGCTGTTTTGAGGGGGGAAGGAACAGTGCCAGATGACACGTAGATGTTGATGATGTTGGCGAGTTGTGGGGCAAGGAGGTGGAGCTGGGATTTAAGGAGAGGGGTAGGGATGGGGTCCATGGAGCAGGTGGTGGGCTTCATGGAGGTTATGGTGGTGATGACAGAGGAGGGGGTGATAATTTCAAAGGTATGGAAGGAGGGATGGGTAGTGGTCAGAGTGTAGGGGAGGGGTTGTTAGGGAAGGGGTGGAAGTTGGGAGGGCAGTGGCAGCTGAGCGAATTCCCTCAATTTTGGACTCGAAGAAGTCCAGCATTTCCTCGCAGTGGGAGTTGGAGGAAAGAATCTGCGAGGATTGGCGGGGAGAGCAAAGGAGCCGGTTGGTGGTGGAGAACAGGAACCTGGGGTTGCCCTTCACCTCCAGGATTAACCTGGAGTAGAAGGACGATTTAGCCAAGGTGAGAGCGGAGCGATAGATTTTGATGTGGTCCAGCCAGATGTGCCGATGGACCATTAGGCCGGATTTGAGCTAAGTGGATTTGGCAGCCCACACCTGGCCCTTGAGCGAGAGGAGGTGGCTGGTGAACCAGGTTGAGGATCGGGAATAGGAGGCAGTTTGGGAGGTGAGGCAGGCAAGGGCGTCGAGTGTGGTGGATTCTTGACAACCTGAAAATCATTGGATTTTATAATATTGAAGTACAATGACATCAATCTCTCATCATCACTAACTTAATAGCCTAGATTTTCATACAATCAATATAAAACTAGTAACGATCACATAAATAATAAATAAATCAATCAATCCACAGCACTGCAAACAACATTCACTCAGGAAAACACACACTATCACCAAATTACTTAGCAAAATACCTAGTATAAATCCAGGCTACTGACACTTCAAGAGTAGACACCATTTGTGTCCGTCTTCTTCTCTTGCACAGTACACACCATTGCCCACGCCCAAGCCCCAAATAAATTAAAAATCAGTTACCAGCTAACAGATCCGCCGATGAAGCAGATGAACTGGAAACAGCCTGGGTGGAAGATTGAGGCTCGGCAGCTGAACTGCCAAAAGCATCTATCAATGTGATCCAACAATGCAGCACAAAAATGAAGAAAGCACCAAACTCAATCCAATTGTTTCCACGAGCATTAGAAATTGTACACATAGGTCTACATTTCTATCTTTTCAATGAAGTACCAGATATGATGAAGCTTTAATTACACCACACTTAGATTCAAACAACAAATGTTTAATACATGAGGCAGCAACGGATGTGAAGACATTCCGCCAATCATTTCGAACTTATATAATATATAAGTAAAGATGATCAGGTTTATGAGTCAAACGTTTCTGTACCCCATGGTGTCCTGAGGTATTAATATGATCTATTCCACATAGAAACACTTCAACAAAGTTTAATTTCACACTTTGTTGTTGAACCACAGTACACCACCAGTAGTGAAAGGTTTAATAATGCAGGGTGATGTGGCTCGGTCAATGTGAATTCTGAAACCTCTGTGGAGCTGTTACTACAGTGGAGAGTCAGAAAAATAATGACTAGCATAAGCCAGGAGAGAACACTTGACATATTTTATTGTTTTTTGTCTGTGTCGTGATTATAAAATAGCATTTTTTTAAAAAAAGAAAATTCTGGTTAAAGTTAATAAAATGAATTGTTGGTGCTTAAAATATTACATTCAAAGACTACTAGAATTCTGGGGATGGTGCTAAATTCTTTCAGTAAAAAATATTTGGTTAAGAGCGTTAATTTTAGACAAGACAGGACAAATAGAATGGTTCGCAATATTAACTTTGATGGGTTCATATAATAGTAAAATCCCAATCTGAAGCATCAAATTTCCTTGCCCTTATTTCAAACATGCGACACGTTGGAGATTGCATTCCAAAACCATGTTGAATTAAAACCTTTATTGAGAAATAAAAATAATATTTTACATTTATATTATTGAGGAGAGATAAATGGGTATCCATTGAAATGAAAGCCTTTTGAGGTTTGTATGTTCTGGCAAAATTAGAAAGGGCCAAAACAAACAGCCCAATTAGTTAGGTGAAACTGTTGATAACCAAAGAGAACACTGAAAACAATATACATCTCATAACACGGACTGGAGCCTTTAGTGGTGATCACTCACTGGAAGGTTGGAAAGTGTAAATCCTCGTCTGTGCCTGATTTTAACTGGGATAGTAGATGGGATATTACTTTGGAAGGGAACAATCATTATCTGCTGACGTTAAGTATATGGACAGGCTTGGTTATAAAGTCCCCCCTGTAAAATTTAATGTCCGAGCTCGCTTACAAATAAATGTCTACACGGGCAAGATCGCCAAAGATCCCCAACATCCTTTTTTAATCAAGGAGCAAACTGAAGACAATGCCAATGGAACCATATTCCAATAATAGGGGTAAAAAAAGCTTCAGGGGGAAAATTTGAGGGGAAAATAGTGAAAACAAAAATGCAAAAGTACCTACAGTATTACAAATGGTTTAGACATAATCTTACTGTATTACATTTACACTTCATTTTGGTGAAAAACCTTCAACTGATTTAGAAGTTAGGAATAAAATAATTTCAATCATCATCATTATTATGAAGGAACTGATATTTAACAAAATGTTTTAATATTTGTGATTACTTAAAAAATAGTTTTCAGGGTAAGGAGGAAATTAAAGACAATGACATTGATACTGTCAAGGACATCAAACCTTGCAGTGTTAGATTGGGCCAGCAAGTCAGAATGTATTGGAAAACAACAAAGATAGGGATAAGGCTTGTACGTATGGCATGTGTGGAGTTGTATTTTTAAGAAATCCTTTTCATTGTCATTTTCTTTAGGAAATCCTATGCCGTTCCATTTGTGAAAGTATAAAAATTAAATCTGATCAATAAGTATTCAAACCCTCCTCTATATTACGATTGAGGGAACTTTTTATTTTGCCTGGTATTTTCATTTGTTAGTGTATATAAAAAAAAGTACATTTGTTAGTGTTCAACTATAACCCACATTTATAGAGCACCTTTCATGTTTTAAGTCAAAATAAACATCTTAAAGTGCTTTAGATATATTAATTAGAAATTAAAGTTATGTAGGCAAGCAAAACAACCACCTCAGTTTTAAATAAGATCAGCACAATTTAACAATTTAGTTGTTGCATAATTGCTTAGTGTGTGGTTAAAAAAGACTGAAAGAGTATACCCACCACCAAACAGATCAAGTACCGCTGAAGGTTCTGATTTAGCAGGAGAGGCACTGATTGTAGGTGGCGGTGCTACAAAAGCATCAACTGTAGCAGGCAGAAAATGTAAATGAAAATAATATGTGAGCAACAGCAGAAGCACAGGATACCCCCACCACCTAATATTTAATAGACCTGTGTCACCTTTGTAGCACTGATCCCAATAGTCAAGAAGGCATGCAGTTTGTCAGACAAGAAATGAAGCTCGGAAATCTGTTCAGTTGTTTTCACTAGGTTGCCCCTGGCTTAACCTCCCATCAGGACAGCAGACTCATTTCAGACATCCAAACCCTTACTCTGCATGAAATACTTGTGCAGGCTCCAACAAGTCTGTACAGGTTCAAAGTTGAACAGCAAAGGTTTTCACAACCCAAAATAAAGGAGTCCCCATTCCTTCAATTTCTGAAGAAAGGAATTTTAATGGTTGTGAAAATTCCCAAGATAGCTGAGAATAGGGATATATTAAATGCAGAGAGGTTCCTGTCTGAGATCTAATAATCCAGTTTCTAAATGTGCAAAACAAGAATTGTGACTGACACAAAAAGTCAGTTCAGTGGATTATGGTTACTTTGTTTTTAAGGCTTCAAGAATGTGAACCTGTAAAACCTACAGATAGTGAATTAAGATCATCAGATTGGGCACTGCTTGATTACACTTCCATCTACTTTCTAATACCATTTTTTAGATTTCAATTGTCAGAATTTAAAGGTAAACTTTGCTTTACTTCAAATGAAGACAAAGACGCAATGCAGTTCAGTTTTCAAATTTGCCAATTTCATCTGCTCAGACTTAGAAGGATGACTCACCAGATAACAGATCACCAGTGAGACTACTCTCAGGCAGAGGAGAAGCCCCACGAGATGGGGTTGAAAAAGTATCTTTAAAAAGGGAAAGTGAAAGCAAGTAAACATCAACAGTTTAAAACCCAGAGAATTCCCTCTTCCAAATAAATGGTTTTATATTTAATGTCTGAATGGATTCCAAGAAGATGAATGAATTCCAAAATTATTACTCGTTTTTTTTCAAATAAATATTTTTTTCTTCAAAATCTGAAGATTTTGGAAGGGAATTGGACACCGTTTTGTACCTGAGGCAAACAGGTCTATACAAGAAGCTGCGTCTGGTTTTGGAGTTGTAGACGCATTTTGTTCTTGAACGGAATCAAATAAATCTAAGAACAAAGACAGAAACATTAATTTTCCCAAAAAATCTTAGTGCAAAACACGTTTTGTGGGTGTGATCCACTGCTTGTCGCAAATTCAATGGCCTCAGAGGCGAACAAGTTACTGACCAGCAGAAAACATGATTAAGTTCATCCAAGATCAGTAGACTTTCCCTTTAAATCAGAGAATCAGCCCTTCCGTCCCCGGCCCAATAATTTTCAAATATTTACAAAACAAACTCACAGATATCAAATGGTGTAGAAATTACACGTTAGCTAAAGTTTTAAGTCTATTGTAAAGCATTAATCGTACAATGTTAAAATTGTTCTTGTTGAGCTAGCTGTTGTCTTAGATCAGAAATGTCAAGATAAAGAATAAAATTACCACCAAAAATATCAAGAACTGGTGCAGTGGTGGTGACAGTGGTGGTAGCAGCAGTTGTAGTGGTAGTAGCAGTAGCAGTCGCAGTAACAGTGGTGGTAGCAGTAGCAGTCGCAGTAACAGTAACAGTAGCAGTAGTAGTCACACTAGTAGTTGCACTGGTAATGGCACTGGTCATTGCACTGGTTGTTGCACTGGTAGCTGGACTGGTAGCTGTACTGGTAACTGCAGTGGTTGCTGGGATAGTTGCAGGAACGCTGGCCTCAGCAGGCTTCATAGCAAAAAGGTCCAGTTCAGGAGCAGCCTCTGCACTACCTTCAGATGGGGCAAAGGGGTCTTTGGAAATGGGTTGAAGTGGGAAGAAAAAGGGTCAGAAGGATGGAAAGGTAAGGATTCATAACCAAAACTAAGGTTAACAACTATGCACTTGCAGATCCCTTGGTCTTGCATTTACCAAATTGTATCAACCATATTCAGTCGCATCATGCTTTTGTAACATATTCTGAATTTTGCATTTACAAAAGGATCATTCTACACTAACAAGCCACAACAAAAAAACTAAACAGGCAATTAGATGTTCAGGTTATCCCACTACAATTGCTATCCACCACCCAAAATTAGGCAAATGACCAACACAAATTTGAACACTTCTTAATTGAGTGTTGAATGGTTAAAAGGGAGTCTTAAAACCAGACCCTGTTTTATAAAAGCTCAGAAAAAAATGAAGATCGTCATTTTTGTAAGATATTATTTTGAGCACTTGTTTGAAACAGTCCAGCTGACATCAGGAAAACACTGGAGTTACTGAACCTGACAGTGTGATCATGGCTCATCAACACAAATAGTTGTAATGGCAATGGTTCTGCAACCCTTGGATTGAAATAAAATATTTTAACGGGGAAGGGGAGAGGAAGCAAAGGGAAGCACTCTTCTCCTTTCTCTCCCCACCTCAAAAAATACTGCAAGACATTACTGAGAACATATCTTCCAACAGAATACATTCACAGCTTTAAAGTAGCATCCTGCAGACTGCCATTACCAAACAAGCTCAGCTTTCGCAATCCACCACTGTAGTTCCTGGAAAGTAACAGACAGAACTGGAAGCCTGTGGGGACTCTGGTTCCAGTTATTAGTACTTCACTACTGTAATGGACATCTAGGACAAAGAAGGATATTAATCTCTGCTTAGCTCAATGGCAATAAGCTAGAGTTAGAAGTTATGTAAGCAGGTCTTTTTGCATCGCCTTCAGGCCAAAGGAGTGGACAACCTATCACCAGCTCTCTAGCATAATAGCTGTTGGGAGGCATGTGTCCTGCACCATCCTCTTGTGTGATGTGCAGCCTCTGCTTCATACTTCTTCATACCACACACAGGCTCAAATCAGGAATTCAGCAGAATAGGTTTAGTTGAAAAAAAACCTTTCAGAAAGAAAATTTCACTGTGATTGTGGGACCACCTACCCCAAACTATTTTAGGTTCTAAATTAATATCTACAGATGTTTAACTTTCTCAAACCATCAGCCTCAATAACTCCCCCAGACCAGAGTTCTCAATGATGTCATCAGCACTCACTGCACAAACATGACGGTTAATTAATATAGTGACAAAGGACATAATCACAATGGCTTTTTTTAACAAGGGTTAGATGATGAGACCCCAATGCCAATACGCTGCTTTGTTTATAATTTCAGACAACTGTTTTGGACAAGAATACTTTTAAACCATATGCACAGGATTCAGTGGATATGTGGTACCTGGCAAATAAATGTCAGTCTCATCATTCAAATGAGACTGGTGATAAGTAGGGGAAACAAACCATTATTCAACATTTGTTCATATAGTAGCCTCAATACAAATTAGCTTTAGGTTGCCAGATCTTGAATCAATTGTTGTGTGATTAAAGAGCTTGAATTTAGGAAAACAGATCAAGTAGTTTTCTAAAAAAAAACTTTCACATATAAACCATTAATGTGGAATCCTCCATTTCAGTATTGGTAAGGACCTCAAACTTGAAACCATATGTCTGTGTACGTATGTCAAGTGAAGGGCAGGATTGAGATCAGCTTTGATGCTCCCCAAAGACCGAATATCTTGACAATTCTTATTATCTCACACAATAATGAGGGCAATTGGTGCCCGTGGAACTGAATCTCAGAAGAGTTTTAAATAAATCTCCAGGTGAAGAGGACAGACAATTGGAGAGAAAAATGAAGTTAAAAAACTCCTGAATTTTTCGATGGCACCCGATAGACCATTAGAAACCTTTCAAGGGGCCATGGGGGAACAAGCTCAGTTTGAGTCACATTTGCTGTGTTAAGTCAAGTGCTCCTGAAACCATCTCTTCCATGTGATGTTAGTATTTGGGTTCCTGCATAATTCACACTGCATGTGCAGTATATGTTGAGCATAGCACCGCATGCTGGATTATTGTACTATAGCAACAATGAGGCAAAAACCTCAACAGAGAACAATGGCCGTTTATTGTATTTAATATATTAAGTGTTCAGAAAAAGTTTGGATATGCCGATTGTAAAGTTGTGTACATGAAATTCAGATAAATGGCTCAGCTGCTGGCTCATGAACCGCTGAAATTAACTGATGGGGTTGTGAAGATGTTTGTAGCCTCGACTATACTATACGTGCAGCTTGCTGGAGGAGCATGGCAAATGATGGCAAATGGCAAATGATCTGCAAGGATACAAAAAATCAGCAGAAAAGGAAGGTCAAGAAAATGTGAGTTCTTGGAAAATGAGAACCATTTTGTATAGCTCTGAAACCCAGTGCAGAAGAACATGGACAATACATACATTCCAGGACTTACTTGAAGGTGTCTTAATGCTCAAAGTAGCCACACTGCACTAAAATACAATCATTTAAAGCTTGGAAAATCACAGTTTAATTCTTTGTAAGGCTCCCATGTTAGTAAAGAATGACTCACAAAGATTACAGACCACAAATAAGCTAATATCAGACCCACCAGTTCCAGCACATGCATCAAGTGCTGCTGCTGCAGGGAGTGCTGCTGCTGGTGCTCCTGCCCCTTCAAGCGTTGCTGACTCTTCACTAGGAGAAGTTGCAAATGCATCTGAGATGCAGTACCAACACCATTCACAACAGGATAGAAAGAAAAGCAAAAAGGATATATAGAGCAAGAATCAGATCAGAAATCTGCAGGATTACGCCCAGTTAAAAGCCCCATTTATAGCATGCAAATTTCAAGACTAGTAAACCAGACCGCAACAAAATCCAATCTTTGTAAATGTTTTATAACGTGATAGATACAATAGGTGATCATTCTCTCACCTCTCGCTTCCAACCTCTCTGCACCACAACCTTTCTATGTTTACTAAATACTGTGCCCATTGTTCTTCTATCTTGTCTTGCTCCTCCAAATCTCAAAGTAAACCATTCTGAATCTTTTCCTCCTCCCCATGTCCTCACTGTTTTCAAAAATATTTTTGGTTCCAATACACTTTCCCAGATCTTCTAAACTGTGGAATTCATCTCCTCCTGCCTTTGTTTTTTTCCTACAACCTACAGGCTTAAAAAAAATAACCTTGGTGTCATCTAACCACTATTTATTGTTTTATCTATTTTTCACTCCTATTCTTTCAACCTTGGTAGTGCACAATGCGCCCTTCACCTTGGTTAATAGAATAAATACAATAGGTGCTCTATGCAATGTGCTTTCTTCATATTTTAAGTGTCACACACCTTAGGAAAGCACAGAAGACACAATATAAAGCCCTTGGGTGTTGCCAAGGCAATGCATCTAAATGTCAAGCTAAGGAGGACACTTTCAACAACAGCACCAAAGCAATTTTCTGCAGTGGTATAAATGTAGCATGAAAGTCTTAGCATAGAGGTACTCCAGCTACACCGTATCTATCAATACCCATCCACGGTGGTGGTGGAGCGGATATGCAGCAACTTTTTATTGGCTGCAATGTAACAGTTGAAGACACCAACACACCAGAAGCCTATTTACAACATGAGGTGTATTGGGTGGCCCTCTATTGAACAATATACTGTATGTGCTCAGTACGTTATATACTGGGAAACAAGCATAATCTGTGAAGCAACACAGAATACTACTGTGAAGGCATGTATTCTGTCTGTGCAGTGATACTCTAATGTTTGTAGGATGCCTGAGTGCCCATTTGTGTTTCGCCAGTAACATGACCAATGATGGAAAGGTAACATTTGATGTGCTTCAGTTACACGGCCAGCATGATAAAATGCATCGGTTCATCCTCCTTGGGTATTTAGTGCTTTTCAGCTTCTTGAGACTATTCCCGGAGCACACACAATATCTGGTGGATGACTTATTTTTAAAGTAACCTCCCTGGTAAAAAAAACTCCAAGTAAGACAATTAGTACATTTACTATCTCCTGTTCAATGCATATGTATTAATATTGACTGTATTTTCCATTTCATGATTGGCATCACACCAGTGCCAAAAACTCTGGCTACAAGTATCAAGTTATATGTTATATGTAGAAGCTGGCTCCTTACTCACAGCTTATACACTTAGAGTCAATCTTCAAATGCCAATTGACATTCACTCTTCAAAATTATACCAATGGGAAGTCATTCCATCTTTACCATCCTATATTTGACTGTTTACAGACAGAATTTTTTTTAGAAAACTGTACAATAAGCTTTTACTGTATATCAAAACAGATTCTAACATAAAAGGCACAAGATTAAAGATTGTAGAAAACAGTTGCCTGGCAAACCTTGGTTGCATACCAGACTGTAGAAACTTCAGCAGATAATAGACATGTTTTGTTTTGAGCATTTCTGCCACCATAATTTGAAGAAATAATGGAGATTTAGATTTAAAATAAACAAGAATAGGTTATTTCAGCGCCTTGGGATGTCCTCCTGACGTGAAAAGCGCTATACAAATGCAATTTTGTATCGTATTATTCAGCTGTTAAACGGCAACCCCCTTTCCCCGAGCCCATCACTGACAGAGCCATATCCAGGGCACTATGGACACAAATACCGGATTCTTCTAAATTCAGCAGAGACGAATGTGTCCACAAATACAATTTGAGGGCACTGTGGTCTCAACAAGGAGTTCCTTTGATAATTTTCATTGAATGAAATGGAAAATGAGTCTATATCACTTATTAGCAAAATATTAGCCACTAGACATCTATAATAATAATCCTTGCATTTGATATAGTGCCTTATCATGTCTTTGAGACGTCTCAAAGCGCTTCACAAAATATACTATGAAGTGAATTAATTGTATACTTTGTCGGCGAAATGCAGCAGCCACTGGGCACAGCAGAACCCCACAAACAGCCATGGATTGAGTGACCAAATTATTATTTTTTTTAGGCATCTATGCACATAAATATTTCCAACCTATTTCCAAAGAGTAGTGGGAACACTTAATAGGAAGCCTATTGCTAATAAAATATTTGCTTAAGAATTGGCACTTTTATGGATGGTTTGCTGACATCTATTCTCAACTATATTAAAGGCACTGCCCACTGAGAAGGTGAATGCCTGTAACACAAGGCATCCACCTATGTGTATGCAAGTAGAACAATTTTTACAGTACAAAGAAAATTGTGAGAATGAAGCAACAGGTCGCTAATGTCTACGAACACCAGGATTACTTAGGAAGATGGATGGTGAAGATGCTAGAACACCCAAACTGACCTCCGAACAGATCCAGATCAGTGGTAGTTGACGTAACAGCAGGAGGTGTAGGTGTAGGAGCAATGGCATCAGCAGTTGTGGAAGGAGTTGTCAGGGAAACCTCTGTTGCAAACAAATCAGTAGGTGGTGCCTCAGAGGCATTAGGAAGGGCAGAAGCCAGAGAATCTGCATCACCAGTGTCAAAGGAAGGATGAGGAAGAAAGAGAGAAAAAAAAATTCTCCTGAAACCAGATGCCAACAGTCTGTTTTAGAAAAAAACAGGCAAACAATGCAAAGACAAATGAGTTCGCAAGCAGCTGATTCCATATTTCAGTAGATGAATGAATTATAGTAGACCACTCACCTTCGCCCAAGAGATCTGTTTTATCCATTCCAAAGAAGCAGAGTTAAAAAAAAAGGTGAAAGAGGTAATTTATTCAGATGCATTGACAAGAAGAAGTTCTATATTAGAAGAACTTATTATGATGGTTTCCGAGAAAGAAATGAAGACTCCCCAAAATTTAGTTCAGGTTTCAACAAGCAATGCAATAACTAAGCATCTAGGTAATTTCTTAGGATAAAGAAAACAATGACAATTAAAAATTATTATCACATATGGTGGGTTTTTGTTCTCTTCCCAATACATCTTGTAGTTTATCTGCTTAATGAAATATCACTCCACTGCTATGCAAAATGTCAAAGTAAGGTATCAAAATTCAAGTCCCACAAATATTTTTCTGTCAACAAGTAAACTGCATTTTCCCATTAATCTCAACATGCTATTCAAAATGGCTGAATATATAGAGTGAACATCAATATCAACCACAGAGTATGATCTATTGCCAGAAGGTACCAGGTTAGCTCACAAGTTATAAATTATTATGTGCATAGGTTTGCAACCAAATAATTTTGTTTTCTTAGAAATATATGTTTCTGTAGATAAAGAAAATGAGTTGAAATTATTTGGTAAGAGAATCCATGCGGAAACAGGAATTTTATTTCTGAGTTATGGCTCTGCACAAGAGTAATACACTTGGCCAGCTTGAGATAGTCACCTCAGCTACCCCAACATGAAAACAGCAGCCCTGATAGGATAGCAGAGTGTTGCTCATGTTAAATTTTGCTTTGACAGATCGATGGTGTAAGTATCACAGTTTGAAGTGTTATACTACCAACTCTGCAATCACAGCTATAGCTTTTTTCAAACATTTGAATTGATTAGCTCTTCACTACTGATATTTTCAAGATTTTATGCATATCTGACAAAAAAATTGCCAATGAACAGAACTGAAAAAAGATTCATTCCTAGTAAATACGTTGTTTTAAATTCTTGCAAATGCAATCACATTTGTTCCTGCAATCTCAGATCCGACAAAGTATTAATCAAAGTATTCGTATTTTTCTGCATTTGTTTTTTTTAAATCTCCATCATAGCATTACACATTAAAAACTTACAATACATAACTTTTGTTGCAAGAAAAGTCACATCAGAAGGTTCACAACATAATACATATTAAACACCCTGACAAAGCTTCTCTTCCACGTGTTGTTGATCAATATGGGAAACAGATACCAGCAGTTTAAAATTACGCCTGCATGCCAATGTAGCAATGCACCATTTCTCACCTCCCCAAGCACTGGCTGGTGGATTAGCAGCAACTGTCGATTGCACTGTAGCGGTAAAGTCTGGTTGTAGATCGAGAAGGTCACTGGATAATTTGGATGCACTGAAGTGAAAGAGGAAATGGGATTAGCTGTTTTGCTATTCCAGTTTAGAATCATCAAAACTCATTTCCCCTCAGCATCAAATTCTGGAATTATATTTTAAAAAAGATACCATCAGCAAGCTTGTGGCTTCTGATATAAACATCAGATGCATTACTGCAGAGGAACATTCTAAATACATTTTTAATAAACAATATCCCCAGGAAGTCATGCTGCCTATCACATTCATATCAGTTAAGTTTTGGAAGTGGCTACACTCATTGTTTAAATGAGACACTAGCCATTTTTCACAGCCCAGTAAAATATTTGTAATTTTATGTTGAACTGCTAAAAATTAGTACTTTTGCCAAGAATTGTCCACGTATTATTTTGTCCTGTCCTACAGGAAATTGTTTTACTGCAAACATCTGCCATTCCTGAATAGTTCTACTCTCCTAAATGCATTTTTCTATCCTTTTTCAAAAAATTATGAAACATAATCCTTACATTTGGTATAATGCCTTTCACATGGGGAAATGTCCCAAAGCAATGATGAAAGCATAGAAACAGGAGAAGGCCATTCAGCTCCTTGAGCCTGTTCCGCCATTTTATAAGATCAGCTGATCTGTACCTCAACTCCAATTACCCACTCTTAATACTCTTAATACAAATAGCTATCCACCTCAGTCTTGAAAATGTGAATGGATCCAGCATCCACAACCTTTTGAGGGAGAGAGTTTCAGATTTCCACTACCCTTTGGATGAAAAACTGCCTATTGATTTCACTCCTATATGGCCTATTTCTAATTTTAAAATGATACATTTTTCTGGATTCCTTCACCAGAGGAAATAGTTTTTCTATATCTATCCTATCGAATCCCTTTATTATTTCAAAAACCTCAACCTTCTAAACTCAAGGGAACAGAGAGTATGTTTATGCAACCTGTCCTCATAATTGAAGCCTTGGTATCATTCCAGTGGATCTGCAATGATGGCTGGGCACCCAAGCTTCAATTGGAAGCCAAGAAAGATCAGGGCCAAGTGGGCGGGGAGGGGAAAGATAACCGAAAGTGGGGCTAAATTGCTACCATTTACGATGGGCCTTGAATGAGGGGACAGAAGGAGTGAGTCAGTGGGACTCCAGAATGGAGTTCCAGAGAGTGGAGGCAGAATGGCTGAAAGACCACTTGTCGATCGTAGGGTAGATAGGGTAGACATGAAAAAGGCAGGTTTGCACTAATCTCCATGCTGTTCAAAAAGAGGCATGTTTGCACTCTCAGAAGCATCAGGATCTCCATACAGAAGTCCACTTCCTAGCCACCAACATTATATTCCAATGTAGCTAGAAATGTCTGCATCAGCTGAACAGTTGCTGATATTTATTTCACATGAGATTGATCTATGCTGCTTGCAGGTTAACTAGCTTCTCCACTCCTTTCTCCAAAACATGGAATAAATAGTCAATAACTAAATGCTGGGTCAGCTCTAACTGCATTTTTGGATTCTCCTTTAATGAAATAAGATGGTGTATTGATGACCAGAAGATCCTTAAGAAATCAAACTTTAAAACAAACCAAGAAGAATTGTTCAAATATATACCGAGACAGATTGTTTAATACTAATAATAATCCTTGCATTTGATATAGCGCCTCATCACATCATTGAGACATCTCAAAGCCCTTCACAGGATATATTGTAAAGTGGATTGACTGTGCATTGTGTTGGCGTTTGTTGCATCAAAGGCAATTACTCATAGGACATTCTGGATTTAATCCTTCTTTTAAATGTAATATTTATATCCAGAAACCTTGAGATATAATTTTTTTAGTAATTGCACATCACCCTCACTTTAAGAGGAACTCTGACAGTGAAAATTTGCACATTGTAACAAGGTGCACACTACAGGAAATGTTCAACAGCAAGCAAAAGTAATAGAAAATTAGGTGCCAAAGAATATGTAATGAAGCCTTTTAATGTGTTGGTGAATTGAACTTGAATATCGACTCACTTTATTGGAGCTGCAGAAGATGGGGAGGAGAAGAGATCAACTGCTGATGCTCCATCAACACTTTTTCCAGGAGTGGAATTTGGAGACATGTTGTCTGGAGAGCCCTGGAAGGATATGTAAGGAAATTTTTGTTGCATGAAAGTAGACAACAGGAAAATCTATCGACCAGCAATTCACACTTAAATACAAGTTTTTTGGTGTGATGCATGACATGGACTTCCACACCTCCACCTCACCAGAAAATATAGAATAGAGCTGGATTCTCCAGAGATGTGTATACATTTTTTAAAATTTATTGTACTTATATTTCTTATATTTTAGTTCCTTGATGTTCGCATTACGTCTCAGTTTCTAACAACTGTTCTGAACTGGTTCCAATTGCTAAATTTTCTGAACAAAATCCAAAGCAATGCCACTTGTATTTAAGTTAAGTTCAGAATTCATAATGAATATATAAATTTGTGTTTTGGGCTCCAAAAGGTGGACTTGTGAAGCAGAGGAACTAAAAAGGGGCAAAGGAGTTTTTTCATCCAAACCAGTCTCATGATTTTTAATGCGACAATATTGAAATTAACATCTTGGAAATCACATAATCTGTGGCACTTGCAACATGTAAAAAATGTTTTATTCTCATCACCTAACCCAGAATCTGAACTTTTGGAAGGAGGTGTGTTGTTCCAAAGAAATGCCTTAATCAACAACTAGAACTTTTCACGTCTTTGATTATGACCTTTGGACACTTCAAAGAAAATGTGATATCCTAAGTAGATTCCTTATAAAAATGCACCTCAGCCTGGTTTGGATTCTCTTAATGGGTTCGACTCAAAAAAAGTGCAAGTTAACAATTTTTTTTCATTACCTGATTCACTGGCGTTCCAGTTCTAAAAAGGAGGAAGGGAGAAAATTATGTTTTTTTTTCCATTTAATCCTAATACTGTCTCTACATTTAATTACTGATTTCCTGTACTTTTTACTTCTGCACTCGAAGATATACAAATGTTTCAAACGACTGGCCAACAAAGGGAAAGATCCTACCCATGAAGATATTTGAAATGGCAATGACCGTCATTTAAGATGAATAAAACCCACAGAATTCTTGATCTGAGAAAAGGTGCGATTGTCGCATTTCACACTTTGTTGCAGCATTCTCCAAGCAGCTGAATGTAATTAGTCTTGCATTTGATACAGCACTTTATCAGGTAGTCAAAATGTCTGAAAGTGCTTCACAGGACTGTAAATTTATTTTTGTAGACTAAAGCAGCAGCCAATTTTCACCAAAGTGCAATGTCTCAGTATTAAAAGGAAGATGGTTGTCTTGTTGACAGTCCCATGGATCGGTGTATGATGTGATGTATTCCACAATCATCCATCCAGGGACTTGGTGAGCTTGGAAGCAAAAGCCTTTGCCATGCTGTTGGAATTAGATCAAAGACTGTATGTGGCTTCAGTCATTTGTATACGAATGATATCTTTTGGAATTGAATAAATAAATATTTATGTCCTAGGAGAGAAGCATTGTGAAGAAAAGAAGGTGCGGTAGAAATCTACCTAGACAAGTGAAAAACACCCACAGTTACCGTGCAAGAAGAGGATTGAGGCAATAATTGAATATTGTGTAATCTGAAACATTAGCTCATCTTTCCCTTTCAGATGCTGAACAACTTTTTTTTAATCTCCACATTATTTAGAAACCTCGTCTGTTCAAGGCCAGTTAAGCTTTGGAAACACTGCTTATGTTGAGTAAGTAGCAACAAATACAATACAAATACATTTTATAGCGCTGTTTATGTTGATAGGGCGTCCCAAGGCACAAGACAGTCAGGGATTTGACCGAGCTGGGAGTCGGGATCGGGGAGGGTGGAGGGCAGGGAGGGTAGCTGAAGGCTTGGTCGAAGAGGAGGGTTTTGAACCGCGCCTTGAAGGAGGCAAGGGAGGGAGTGAGGCAAAGGGAATGTGGGATGGAGTTCCGTAGGGTGGGGGCAGAAAGGCTGAAATAAAGAAAGGGTGTTTAGCTGGTTATATTTTTCAAAATTAATTGCTTGCTAAAATGAAAGATGTGTTCAATGAATAAAGCAGGTCCGAATTGAATAAGATTTATGTCCAAGATGTTCATTTGAAACACAGTATGCGGTATTTCTGAGATACGATAGCAATCAATGCATCAATCTTCTCGCTTAATTTATATCACCCACATCTTACAAAAATCATTCTTCAGCATGTCTTACAAAATGACCTTAATCACACTGGCATGAAGCCATAAACCTTCAGATGTTACCCTAATACCAGCTGTGATTTTAATAGAATTGCCTTGCAAATTACGAGTGAAACAGATAAAAATGCAGTTTTTGTTAAAGATTATAGATGTATTTTTATCCAAACTTACCCTTCACTAAGTGTTCAAGGCAGCAAGAAAGAAGTAAAAGTGTTAAAGGTTATACCATCTACAGTAGTGGATGTACAAGTTTAAGAAAAGTGACCAGACAAATTATTTTCAGTCCAATTTTTGCTACACGTTTTATTACATCATATGTCAAATGTTTTATCATATCATATATCATATGACAGCATTGCTAATTCAATTCTTAGTAATTTGTTCAGTTGTGGAACAGACCTAATTTCTTATACTCCGAAATTACTTCAATCATATCTTCAAACATCCTATCCCTCATGAACTCCTGTCTCAATCCCTCTGCCTTGCCCCCTTCCGATCACAACTGAAGATTTTCCTCATTGACCGTACCGAGGGTCAAGATCCCATTTTTTCCAGCTCTGCATCAACTATTTTGTCCCCAAAATATACAGTCAATTCACCTTACAATATAATTGGTGAAGTGCTTTCAGATGTTTCAAAGACGTGATTAGGCGCTATGTCAAATGCAAGGATTATTGTTATTATTACTATTGTTAAGTGCTCCGAGTCACTTCTGCGTGAAGGGCGCTTTATAAATGCTTATAAATGTTGTTGTTGAACCATTCTGTGGTCACTGGATATTTTAGTGTTGCAGCTCTGACATTCAATAGCGCTGTAACTATTATAAAAATAAGTATGTTATATTTGTGACTTTGCCACTATGTTCCACGAATAAATGTACTCTGCTTCAGTCCAAACTTGGTTGTTCACGGAGCTAACTGGAATAATGAGGCATTTCCTGTTTAGCTGAAAGGACAATTCCTCACATTTTTTGGTTGAGGGTATTTACCCTCCAAGTGAAAATGATTTTACATGAAGACTGCTACAGCTTTGAGTGATTGGAAACTAAGTAGAAGTGATCCAGCTTCATTCTGATCCAGAACAATTGGTCTCAATGAAGCCCATGTATATCTAAGGGTTGAACACTGCTTTATGCCTTCTTCACTTATAATAATATTAATCTTTCCATTTGATATAGCACCTTATCAAATCATTGACATGTCTCAAGGCGTTTCACAGAATATATTGTAAAGTGAGTCGACTGTATTTTGTGTGCAAACGTAGCAGCCAATTGCGCACAGCAGAGTCCCACAAACAATGGTGGATTGAGTGATCAAATTTTTTATTAGGCATTATTAGCCCCGGAAAGCGATCCGTCAATCGACTAACAACCAGGTTCCTACTTACTGCTTGGTAAACAGAGGGGTGTGGAGTAAGGAAACTTGCCTAAGGTTTCGCCCGCTCAAGAATCTACACAGAATGCAACAAAATGCTAGTCATCCAAATCGATGATTTGTCTATCACCTCCAATCTCTCTCTCTCTCTCTCTCTTTACCCAATCTTTCTTGCCTCATTCAGTTATAAACAGGTCATAGTCCCTGAAAAATTCTCTTGATCCACCTGATCTCCACCTCAGCATGGACTTAACTCTGTGCGGTAATGTTCTATGCAATTCTATCCACTTCCAATCACACTGACTAACATATTCCTCTTCCTCCCTTCATCCTCACTGTGTTAATGAGCTCTAAGATCACACCCTTTTCATCCCCAGGAAATCAAATATTTGAATATGAATATTTGTATTTATTAATACATAAATAATTTTAATAGTAGCTAATTCACAAGCAGCAGTCATATGGTTTTGAAAATCTTCTAACTGCAATGTACTAGAAAATGCTATAACTACGATATTTAAATAAGTGATTTGATGCAACAGTATAATATCCCTGATGATTTCTGACAATTGAATAACTTGATGGCTGTATTTGGCGAGCAATCCATCAGAATTCTACTTTTGCAGTGTCAAAAGTCCAGTAATAAACAGCTAATCCCCTCAATGCAAAGTGAGCGCAGAGATGTGCTCTTGGTTATGAAAGAACACCACACGTATATCATGAAATTAAAATTTGAATAGAATAGACGAGTCCCTACCTATTGCCACCTTTCTTCCCTTCCAGTGTGTTCAAATGTTGTTCAAGAGCTTCAAGGAGACTGCTGGGAGCCTAAAAATAAAAAGGTACAGTACAACGCATCAACGGCATATTTACTTGAGACCATGTCAGACAGCTACAAACTGCCCTTCTCTGTTGCTTTAGCCAGAGCAACCTTTTACAATCCTGCTGACTGGATCAGAGGACACCACATGCTCATGCTTTCTTCTACCAATCTCTATAAAACCACACCAGGATAAAAAACACCTCATGCTTTCAAACACAACCCAAGCATTTTTGAAAGCACACACACTCTTGGAATATAAAAGATGGAAGATCATAGGAGCAAATAGCGTGAAGCAAGATTAAGGCGAAACTAATCATTTAATCAATGAAATCTATTCAAGCTTTTAAAAACACAGCAAAAGTGATATTTTCTTTAAATTCACACGCAACACTCACAAACCATATTGATTTCTACTTTCCACAAAATACATCTATGTTTGCTAATTGGACAGGTTAAAAAGTGTCCTTTAATGTAAACCATGTATCACATGGAAGGAGTAGGATTTTTGACAACAGCGTGAGCATTCAGTACTGAGGTATCCTTAGACTGGTTGTATTTTTATTTGTTGTGTTGTTTGGCAGTATAACTGCAGACTGTAAAAATGACAGGATGCAGTTTTACACTCAGCAGTTACTGTAAAATAACTCATCCAAGTTCACTATTCTTGAAAAATATTTTGTTTCCTAGAACAACAATCTACTGTGTGCTTAGATTTAATTACTTCACAAATAATCTTTACATTGACCATAGCAAAACAATCCTCTTGTCAATCAAAATTTCAAATCTGATTTAACACATTCTGACTGTACTTTGAGGTAACGTCCAAATATGATACAAAGTTTGGAAATCAATCTAAATTTGGAACAATTAGGTAAATCTGATTTGGAAACTACAATTTCTAGAATGAGATTTTATTTGGTGAATCTGAATTTATTAAATTCCAAGGTGGAATTCTAAATGTTTAATACTGATTGAATTGTTCACAAGATCACAAGCGAGGTTCAGATGAATGAAGGCCATCTCAAAGCAGGATATACTGTAAAGTGTAGTGATTGTGTATTTTGTAGGCAAACCTAGCAGCCAATTTGTGCATAGAAATATGCAACAAACAGCCATGAAGTGAATGATCAGTTTTATCTGGGGACTGTTGATCAGGACATAGGGAGAAACTCCCTTATCTTTTTTGAATATTGCTATTTGATGATTAACGTCCACCTGACAGGACCTCAATGTCTCATATTCTCACCCTTCCAATCAACACCCATCCTACCATTTTCCTATCGCAGAATAGAACTGTTTTATAAATGACTCCAGCATCCTGGCCTCAACTCCCCTTCCTATCTTACTGTTGTCTGTCTTGAATTACCTTTTTAGAAACTTTGTTCAGAGGATCGATTTTACTCCAGGTTAGGTGACTGACTGTGATTGGATCATTTAGCATTAAACTGGTTAGTGTGGCAAGTGAATAATATTATTTTGGATTAGAAGGTGACTGATACATGTGGAAACCCATCACCATGCTTAAGAGTATCCAAACCAGATTTGCATATATGTATGTCATGATCACATGGAAATGTCCCTGTATTTGGAGTGGAATGTGCGCTCTCTCCTGCTTCCATTGGCTCTAGAATATTCGGCACAGGTTGGTAAAGAACAAAAGCTTGGGGATCCCAGAGGGTATGTTAGGGTATTGCTGGAGTTTGATCAGCTAAAACAGCATAGATTTCCATTAAGAGCCTTGTTCAGCTAGCATCATCCTACAGGTTAACAGGAGCCAATTGGGAAGAATCCCTTTTCTCAGTGGTCTCTCTAAGGCTTGCCAATAAACCGGACTATTGAGACCAGCCCAGAGGGCAGATTCATTCTCAACATTCAGCATGTCACCTGGCATCCAACAATGTCCATAAGTAAGTGAAGCCTAAACTTTAGTGTTTCATTTGAAACATTTTTTCTGAGGATTGTGCCTCACTAAACATTATAATAGATAGGCTTAGGGTGCTTAATAAATAGAGTTTAATGTTCACTGTAACACTGGTAACTACAGATTATCCAGAGCCAACTCCGGAAGACAGGAGGTAGGGTGGGAATATTAGAAGAATGAGATTCAATGAGCCAAATGGCATTCTTCATTTGAACCAATCTTGTGATCTGAAGCACCAAACCTCAATTCTGCTACAACATATTTGAATTAGTTCCTTGCCCTCGCTCCTCGTTGTTAAGGTGGTCTTGTAATCCTTCCTTATACACATTATATAAAATATATTTTACAACTCTTTTAACTTGGAGATTCTGGAACAAAGCAGCATGCAGCAGTTAGGAACAGTGCACCTCTCTTACAAGGATGAAGGACAAATCACACTGATCCGGTTTTCCTTTGACAAAATAATTGAAAACAGCACACAAATAAACAGGACTATGCTGCAATATGAACCAAGATGAAACATTCAGCAAATTGGTCTCAATTAGATGAATGAAAGCAAAACATCAAGTTTTGTTTTACAACAGGATAAAGATGAGCAACTCGTCAGTCTTTTACCAGCATGCTCCAGCTGTTGTCAAGTCGATTTGCTTAAGAGGCTGAGTTACATAAGTCAGTTCATCAAATGCTCAATCAATCTGAATTTGAATTTGATTACAGTCTCCATTGAGCAACCTCATCCAATAACCCATAGATTTATTAACAGATATTAGCTGTAAACGCAGCACACTTGAGGTATAGTTAACAGTGATGAGTTACCGGATTATCAATGATACAGTCTTTAAAAGAAGAATTTTCACTGTCAGAACTTTTAAGGTCAACAAGAATTCTTTGATGTAATTCCTGCATTTTCAAAGAAAGTCATCGTTATAGGTGAAAGCACATAACCAACTATTGTACAGTTTTTCCTGAGATAATTGTTGCTTGTTCGGCAACTGTTGGAGCGAATAGCAGCTACAGAGGATTTAATAGTAAAATATTTTCTGGTCAGCAGAACTAATTCCCAGAAGAGCCTTCTTGATGTCTTTATAAGCATCTCAGGATTACCATCTAGCGAGGGTAACCTTGCCTTAATAGTAACGTTCTTAATACAATGTGATCTTTTCCATGTATTTTTTTAAAGGTGTGGAGTTCCATTAGTTCTTTGCAAGGCACGTTTTCAAATGCAAAGCATCCAAATCAAAGTTCCTACATAACATTAGAATTCAATGCAAACAAATGTAGTCAATGTCTTTTAAGAAATTGATGATGTAAACCATCTTCCCTTTACTCCCCTCACTTGGGACACTGGTTCATGCACCATTCCTGTGAGACCAGCTCTCATTCCAAAACCCTTTTCGTTTTGCATGAGCCTAATCACAATTATCATCAGACTATTTGGTAGTGAGGCCGTTCTAGCTGAGCCCAAACCTCAAACCTGTCATTACCCTGAATCCAGACAAGCAATTGCAGCAATGGTCACAAGATAATGATCAGGAACAGGAACTTTGGCCTTATTTAAAACCTCTGTAGTTTAAGTCTTCAAGGCCATTCCAATATTCACGCTGCGGCTAGCTAACTCAATACATCCAGGGGTCAAACTTGGGACCTTCCTGATCAATGATCCTCCTTTGAACAAACTTCTAAGAATCTGTAGTAGAGAAGTGGAATTAAAGTAAGCAGCTCCAATAGATATCTAGCAAGACAGAGGCTGAATGGCTTCCTTCTGTGTTGGCATTTTTAAGATCTACGTGCTGCATTACATAACGCATTTACCCACAGAACACTAAGGGGATCACTGTGAATATCTTGGTCAATTTGATACTGTCTGCATCATATTCAAAACATTAGGTTAGATCATGGCATTCTGCAATCCAGGTTGTAACATCAAGCAGAAAAAAATACCCAAACTTAAAAAGTCTTAATCCTAAGGGTGTCCATTGATTCATATAACACTTAAATTATACATTTGAATTCAACAACAACAACAAGATTCCATTTATAGGCGCCTTTCACGTCGGGAGGACGTCCCAAGGCGCTGTACAGTTGGGTCAGGACCTGAGCAGGGGGGAAATGGTCAGGGTGAGGGGAGGGAAGGGAGGGAGCGAGGAGGGGATAGAGAGTCGAGAGCGGAGCTGAAGACACGGTTGAAGAGAAAGGTCTTGAGACTGGTCTTGAAGGGGGAAAGGGAGGAAGCAAGGCGAAGGCGCTGGGGGATGGAGTTCCAGAGCCTGGGGGCTGAGAGGCTGAAGGCCCGACCACCGATGGTATACTGGTTAGGGCGGGGGATGTGGAACAAACCGGAGCCAGAGGAACAGAGGGTACGGGCAGGTAGGTAGGAGGATAGTAGGTCGGAGAGGTAGGAGGGAGCAAGGCCGTGAATGGCCTTGTAGGTGAGGATGAGGATCTTGAATCCGATCCTCTTGGGGATGGGGAGCCAGTGGAGGTGAGCGAGGGTGGGAGTGATGTGGTTGCGAAGTCTGGTGCGGGACAGTACACGAGCTGCAGAGTTCTGAATGACCTGCAGCTTGTGGAGAGAGGTGCCGGGAAGGCCGACGAGGAGAGAGTCCCCGTAGTCCAGCCTTGAGGTGATAAAGGTGTGGACCAGTGTTTCAGCAGCGTGAGGGGTGAGGTAGTGCCGTCGTCTGGCGATATTCTGGAGGTGATGGAAGGCGGTGCCAGTTGTGGTGCGGATGTGAGGGAGAAAGGACAGCTCAGGGTCGAACAGAGCGCCGAGGTTCCTGACCGGCTTTGAGAGGTGGAGAGTGCAGCCTTGGATGCTGATGGTGTCGGCGCCTGAGGTGCGGAGGCGCTGACGTGAGCCAATCAGGAGGGCCTTAGTTTTGCGCACGTTGAGCTGAAGAAAGTTGTCTCTCGTCCAGGACTCGATGTCGGACAGGCAGGCTGTCAGGACATCAGTGGTCGTGGAGTTGAGGGTAGAGGAGGAAAGGTAGAGTTGGGTGTCATCCGCATACATGTGGAAGTTAACCCCATGTCTGCGGATGATGTCACCAAGGGGGAGCATATAGAGGGTGAAGAGGAGGGGACCGAGGACAGAGCCTTGAGGGACACCGCACGAGACAGTGCGGGGGCCGGAGGAAAAGCCGTTTGTTGAAAAAAATGAAGACGGTGGGAGAGGTACGACCTAAATCACTCAAGGACAGGGCCTTGAAGGTTGAGGTGGGAGGATAAGTGGTGGAGGAGGACAGCGTGGTCGACCGTATCGAATGCTGCCGATAGGTCGAGGAGGACGAGGAGGCAGCCCTGGTCGCAGATGGTCAAGATGTCATTGGTGACCTTGACCAGGGGGGTTTCTGTGCTATGGGCAGCACGGAAACCCGACTGAAGGAGTTCGAATAATGCATGGGTGGAGAGGAAATAGCTCAGCTGGGAGGTGACAACTCTTTCAAGGTCAGCAATCTTACTTGATTGTTGTGAAATAAGCAACCCAACTTATTTTAAAAAAATGACATGTAATTGTAGCAAATGTGCTGATAAAATATTTTATGTTTGCTGTACTTTGAAAGTTGAAAAGTACATTGACAATTGTCAGTTATAAAACTTAGGACATCTTCAAATTTATTGGGCATCATAATTTGTCTCTATGTACAGCAATAACAATAACTTGCATTTATATAACGCCCTTCATGCAGGGTAGCTAGCATCTTGGAGCGACCTATAAATTCAATAGCAAGTCTAAGAAACATAGGTAATAATCAGGACTATAAGGTATAAAAATCCAAGGTTCAATGTTGCAGTGAATGTTAGTGTGAATTATGACAAATGCAATTTGTAAATAATGTAGATATGGGTTCAGTTTACACACACACATTTATACATTAAAATATTTTTGAACAGAAACGTGTTTATTAGATGCATTTGGGCACCTTATATGCAGCCTTTCAAAACATCCAATTCACTGCAAGATTATCAAAATAGTTCTCCTTTAGAGAGAGCTAAATACTTTCATGTCAAAATGTCAGAATGTGATTTACTGCATGTCAAATGTTTATTGACTGAACTCCTGCATTTGCTGTTGTAAGTAAAGTTGCTGTAGTGTTGGGCATTAGAACTAAGAGTGCTAACAATTCACTTGTACAGTATACCAGTCAACATAATGTAGGCAACATAATACATTCTGATAATAACCTGCAAATCACAATGCAAGGATTGAGTAAATCTTGCTGTGAACTATAAAGATACCTTGTGGAATAACAGCAGAAATTTATTACACAAGTTGTACAATCCTATTAAAGCTTTTTAAAATCTCATGATTGTCTTGGACCAGTATCAATTTATGTAGTTAGTGTGTATAAACAAAACCAAAACCATCCAATGACATGGTATTAAGCATTTGCTTGGGGCTTTTATTATGCAAAATGCTTGGCAGATGAACACTTAATGTGCAATCATTAAAGGCGGTTGTCATATTGCAAATAACATGAACAATTCACGTTTCAGGAACGGGGATAATATTCAAGTTGATGACTTATGTTGACACTGTAATCCACAAACACTGGATATTTTCAAATGAGTGCAGCAAACAGCTACAAAGAACTAAGTGGAAGAGTTCACCAATTTTACTTTCTTACGTGGGCTTCAAGTTTAAACATTTTATTACTGTATCAAAATATAACCCTATTTGCTCTGCAATATGCAATAACATTTCAAATTGTAGGAACCCTGATCGCATTTTTGGATCTCTCTATTGTATTTGAAAAAAAATGTGTGAACCCCACTGAGAAGTGCTGTAGAAATTCTGTGTTGTACATTTGGATTTTGTTCTTAGCTTTGATGATGTTCAATCTGCGAAGCAATATACCTACTCACTCTCTCAGTCTCAACAATCGGCATCGCTGAAAGTGAGAACACAAGGGGCATTTGTCTGTCATGATTTGTGGTAAACTAAATACTATTCTCAGCACTTGCTGTGACTGGGGTGATATCCTGAAATAGAGTACTGATATAGGACCCCTGATGCTGCACAGGTTACATGTGAACCAAATGGAATCATTGTGAGGAGGTGTGGGGGGAGAGGAGAAAGAGAAACCAGTGTAAATGAGACGGTAGATAGAAAGCCTTTTAAAAACTGTTAAGGGCTCCCTCGACTCCCATATCAAGATTACAGAATTATTATGCTTAGTTAACAAATATTTGCGAGACATGTTTTATAAAAGTAAATCCCAATATACAAAAGGAATAGCCACTTACCTGTGTGAGGTCAGGAATGTCACCTTTCTCAATTCCTACTCGCTGCAGAAAGAAAACAAAAAGCGTTTAAAACATGTGCTGTTTCTACGAGACTTTCATTTATTTCTAAAGTATATTTTCTGCTAAGATGTAGGAATCTCTACGTTAGGTCATTTAAGATCTCCACTGAAGCACATCTTGTACAAGCTGTAAAACTTTTAAACCGTACGCAAAATACTGCAGATGTTGGAAATCTGAAACAAAAACAGAAGTCGCTGGGAACACTCAGCAGGTCAGGCTGCATCTATGGAGAACGGAAAGTGAGTCAACATTTTGGGAAATGTTACCCGAAACATTGGACTCACTTTCCTTTCTCCATAGATGCTGCCTGACCTGCTGAGTGTTCCCAGCGACTTCTTCTGTTTTTGTTTCAAACTTTAAACCATCCTTTATATCTAGACTTCTGGTGATGTTTCAACAGCGCATTTCACTTTTGTTTTTGCTTTTCACTCCTTTAAATAATACATAAAAGCTTCATAAATATCATTACTGCTCTGAAACACAACTTTCAAGTTGGTCCTGTGCTTTTTGAGATTATTAGATTGAGTGATGGTTTTGACTGGTTTATTCTCTTGGTCAAACACAACATTAATATATCTAATTTACCCACTGGATCCTTTGCCCTATGATACACTGGCAAAGAAGCCTATTTACACTGCTTTCATGACAACAGTACAAACAGTGGTTTTATAACTAACCATTCAGTTTAACTTTACATAGGAACATAGGAACAGGAGGAGGCCATTCAGCCCTTCGAGCCTGTTCCGCCATTTAATTAGATCATGGCTGATCTGTACCTCAACTAATCATTTCAATTCCAATTTCCCGCTTTCTCCACATATCCCTTAATACCCTGACCTACCAAATATCTATCAACCTCACTCTTGAAAATGTGGATGGATCCAGCATCTACGGCCTTTTGGGGGAAAGAAATCCAGATTTCTACCACCCTTTGAGTGAAAAAATGCTTCCTGATTTCAATTTTAAATGGCCTGGTTCTAATTTTAAGACTATAATATTTACAAAGTATTATGAAAGATTTTTGAACAATTGCAGCATTTTTTCAACAAGCTACTTTAATATTAATTGATAGATAATAATAAATAATAATAATCTTTGCATTTGATGTAGCGCCTTATCACGTCTTCGATACTTCTCAAACTGCTTCACACAATATGCTATAAAGTGAGTTGACTGTATATTTTGTGGGCGAAATGCGGCAGCACAGCAGTGTCTCGCAAACAGTCGTGGATTGATTGACCACATTATTTTTGAAGGTATTATTACCGCTGGAAAGCGATCCACCAATCGACTAACAAGCGGGTTCCTACTTACTGCTAGGTAAACAGAGGCATGTGTATGTGTGTGGAAACAGATCTGAAGTTACCTGTCATAAAGATCAAACAAGCTGCAGACAGAATTATAATAGCACATTTATTATAATAATAATCTTTGCATTTGATATAGCGCTTCTCACGTCTTCTAGACGTCTCACACAATGTACTGTAAAGTGAATTGACTGTTTATTTGTGGGCGAAACACGGCGGCCAATTGCGCACAGCAATGACCCACAAACAGTTGTAGATTGAGTGACCAAATTATTATTGTTTATAATTTGTACCTACCATGTTGCTAAAGCAATCAAAGCATAGAGTTTCCTCTTTAATTCCAAGCATTCAGTATTAGAACAACATATGTCAACTCTCTGGTAGATATTCTGTCAAATCATGCTTGCTGAGGACTTTTGGCACACTGTCAAAAATAGTCATTTATGCATTTTGAATCCTTGTTGATTCAATCCCAGATTTATAGTTATTTACAAACCCATCTAGCCAATGTTTACTTGTACCAATGTTGTTATATATGCAATATTGGTCATCTTATGTCTAAGCTACAGTCAGAATTCCATTGGTAAGAGAATAATCATCTTTGCAATTAATATAGCACCTATAACATTGAAATGGCTCACATAAACTCAGTTTTCTGTTCTGTAAGGAACGTGGCAGCCAATTTGTGCACAGCAATGTCCCAGAAACAGCCATGAAGTGAACTATCACTTTGTTTTAAATGGAGGATTGTTGATCAGGAAACTCTTCTCTTTTCAAATACAAGTTATGGGAATTTTTTATGTCCACCTGAGCAGGAGGATGGGACTTTGCAATTAATTTAAGTAGCTTAATTCATCTGAAGGACCCTGAAGGATAATACTGAAGTCCCTCAGCACTGCACTGGAGTATCATCTTAGACTACGAGCTAAAAGTCCCGAGGTGGGGCTTGAACCCAAATACCTATGACCCAGGGACAAAAGTGCTACCAACACCATTGTGCTATGGTATCATTCCGTAGTTGCAGTAACATCATCTAAAGCAATCCTAAACAAAATACAGTTCATATGAATCTGAATCTGTGCTTCTATTTCTCTTGCTTTTCTTAAATACTGCATTGCATTCCTGGATGTGAAATGGTCTTGCTCCCAGAAGTCAAATGGATTGGGAAATCTGATTTACACTTCACACTCACTGCAACACATTGAGGCTACAACAGAAAATCACTTATTTCAGAGTTCAGTAAATGCGTACTTGACACAGGCATAGAATTTGAAGACTGGGTGTTAGTTTCATTTTTAAATGATACTATTAAAGAGCCTGTTGCGCAACTAACTCCATCCATCCATTACTACAACAAAATAAATTTACATAGCACCTTTCTTATGAATAAAATATGACTTTAGTGGTGCACACCAACCGAACAAGGAAATGAGAATTTTAATGGTGTTAACTTAAGGCATGATCAATTGTCAATAGATAGGTTTTAGGAGGTATTTGAAGGCAGAGAAAGAGTAATAAGGCCAACAGCAGAAATGGTAATGATTCACACCCAAAGTGTTTAAGCTTGAAGTAATCGCCTTGATGATTGGATTTTTTCCAAAACGTTGCACATATTACACTTCAATTTTAAAGCTGGAATCCCACTGTACAAAGTACATTAACGATCACTTACTTCAGCAACTACAAGAAATTCAGAAACTCTGGTCATTCTTGTGAGGAATTTTTTATAAATTTCTAGAGCTTCTTTACACTGTCCTTTCTTCATTTCAAAATATTTTTCTGAAAAAAACAAGAACAGAAGGTTACAAATTACCTCGATGACAATGAAACATTAAACAATATCACCAGACAACTTTAGCTGCTGAGGAGAAAGTAGCTGAGGGATCTATACACACGTGGCATCAAGCGAGTCCTGGCCCACCTAGAAATCTCATTCATTAGAGAGATAGTTGGGTTAACTGGCTTTCACATTTACACTCGATTGCCAGGAAAGCTGGTAGACATGCCATGAAAGATGGTAGAGCCCAAGACACTGGAGTCATTTAAAAAGCAGATTGATGCAGTGATGAGGGGAAGATAGGTGGGTGTTCTGGACGGGTGATATTGGAAAGGTCTTCTTCATCCAGACCAATCTTGTGTTGTTGTGTTTTCTTATGTTCTGGTGAATTCAGTGTGGGGAGCTGTAAGCATGAACCAAAATTCTGCCATTTCATAACAGATCTGCAATACCACCACTCATAGCCAATGTCACATCAAGGTTTTATGCTACATTTCATTCAGAAGGGCAAGCTAAACTGCTGATAATTACATGAATTTAATACTCGGTCAAACCCACAGAGAAATATTTCTCTCTCTTCCATTCTCCCCCTCCCCCCCCATACCTCCCCAGATAATTCCTAAATGGTCTGATCACTCTCCTAGAGTATGTGGAGGGAAACAGCACAACTGGGTATTCCTGACCCAACAGAACAACGCAGCAAATTGACAGTACAGAACTGATTATGGACTGAGACCAACCCACAAACTTCTGACACACAGCTGAGACTGGCCCCAAATTATATGATTTATAATGTATAGTAGGTTATGGTTAGAAAAGTCACAAGAGAGAAAATGACACAAAAGCAGATCTTTGGGTCTTCTTTGACTTCTAGCTACAGAATATTTTGATTCATTAATCAACCTGAAGTTAACTTGATTTCGCATCTGCTGTAAATTCCACTTACCTAATAAATTAATGATTCCATCATTGTAACAGGCAAATAGTTTGATTAGGTCTTTGAAAAGTAGCATGAAAGCAGCATTTATTACTCCATTTGTCAATTCACCTGGGTTTACCTGTAATATCAAGTTCAAATTAGCTTTTTTAACACACGTTCAAATAGACATTTACATTCTTATTATATCTACACAACTGCAGTTGACTGTTGGTAAAAGGAGGTCTAAGCTTGCACTGAGGTCATGACAGAATGGTGTCACAATTCCTATAACAGGAAAAAAAACATACAATCTACACAATACAGCAAGTAGTACAATTCAACAGATGTGTTGAAATATCTGACAGCCAGTATGAGACGTTGCCACTTAAGACTCTGACATGATGATCAAAGAGAGTGAGACTTGCCAACAAAAAACAAAGCAAAAAATCCCATTAAACAGTAATAGCTTCCCCCACTATACATTTATTTTATGTTTCATGAAACTCCACTTTCATAGTCATGGGACTGAATAGAGGAAGGCAAAAATAAAGAGAGACGAACGATTCCATATAGCTCTCTGATCCATACATATTCTGATATTGATTTTACCCAGGCTAAAGTTTTCGATCAGTCTGACTCATAATCAGACTATACCTAAGACCAAATTCTCAGAAGCCTGCACATTTTCACAGTGTTTTGATCATTTACAACAAAGCAAAAATCATCCCATGATTTCAGCTTTCTCCACTCTTTCAATTTGAAAAGAGCAGAGGTTAATAGAGGTCAACAACCCAAATTCATCTTGCAGTTATTCAAAACCACAATGTCCTCACTACAAGATTATGAGGATGGAATAATATTGAATACTATTAGCCATCCACTTCAACTCAATAAACAATTGATTCTTCCTCTATAGAAACTTATTTATAGGATCAAATTGTCCCTTTTTCTAAAGCAGTCATTACAGGTTTATGATTGAAGACTGCCATGCACTCTCATCTCAGCCCCCTTACAATAATTACTGAAAAGCAAGCACATTGATGTTCATCAGATGAAAGGCATTTTAGAATCACTGACAGTAGTTGCTGCATCACACTGGGTACTATCATAACAAATTACCCAATTTCACAAAAGACTGCTACTGGCACTAGAGACAGATTTGAAGGCTGTTGAGGACCCAAAACCTTTTGTCCTTTTCTTCCTGGTTTATTGCAAAACACTGCAAAACATACTCCTTGGTACAAGGTGAGCTATTGAGTGCAAAACCCATTTTATGCTGATAAATGAGGGCAGCCACAAGGGGTATGCTATCAACATATTATGGGAATAGGATAAGACATCTGAAGAAAAGGGAGACATTTCAAGGAAGCAGCTCTGTTGCATCCAAGCTAATGTCTTTACTCTAGACTTATATTTTTTTCTGCAAATCATGTACAATCTTGTAGTTAATGTATGGTAAATAAAAGAACTGCAATCAAATGAGAATGAATAACTTCAATTATTGCAGGGTTTGATGGGTCTCTGGTCCAATGGCAGATTATTCCAGGTTTTTTTTTAAGTTTTAAAAATAACATTCAACAATTCAAGAAACAATGAAATAGTCACAGGATTAGACCCAATACATTTGTAAAAATAAAATAGCTCAGTTCCAGGGAAGCCAATATTTGCATGCTTCATGAAAACACAACTGGAAGCCACAATGGAAGTGTAATGATGCAAATACATGCTATCACCTATGAAGAGAAAATCTGAAATGCAGGAACATTCCTTTATAAATATGCATGCAGATTTCAGCGGGAAGTTCTACTAAGGCCAGACAATTCTACAAATACAAAAACGTTTCCATGCATACTTAAGCAGTTTGACATTTGCAAGATGATATGCACATGCTTTTGTTTTGATATACTAGCAGATCTGAGCATGCATTCAGAACTGAGAGAAATGACCCTAATTAATTGCGAAACTGAATTGTTCAGGTCCACCAGTGATAACTATGAATTCAAACCGTCATGCTAATTTGTTCCAACTACTCACGTCGAACTCCAGCAGTGCATCCAACTGCCCTTGCAGTATTGGCATGCCTTTCAATAATTTTTCTGGAGCCATGGTTCTCATTACACCATCAGCCCTGAAAAAAAGAGCACCTGTGAGCGATGGAATCGGTTTGACTCATTTGGAATTACTTACATCAAACTCCAGTAGTGCATCCAAATGTCCTTGAAATATCTGCATGCCTTTCAACAATTTATCTGGAGCCATAGTTCTCATGACACCATCAACCCTGAAAGAAAAATATTTTATCAGCCTTCAAACCCATTCTTGCCATTCATACTCTTGATTTGTGATTTCATCCTGAATGGAAGATAGGTAGATGACCTAACCTTGTGCATGCTTTAATACTTGAATGCGCAGCATCCTCATCACACCTCTGGGTTCCAGTATTAAAAATTAATGTTTTAACCATGAGGGGAAAAAAAATCACAAAACTGAGGTCTAATTAAACTATTGTGAATCCACCCATTTGATTCTTTCTCTCTCTCTCACTTTGCAGCTATATTACGAGAACCTTGGCAAATGCAAGTTGGTTTAGCTTGATTAGTTAAGTTTACCTCATTAAAAGCATCATTCCCCAAGGAGTTGAGGACAATTAAGATGGGTATAGGATAGGTCACGGATGCTGCTCATTTTAAAGATGAAAATATTAGGCATTTTCCTTCAGTCGTAATCATCCAGAGACTATTGGATACGAGCTAATGACAATTACAAATGCAGGGGAATAGAGACCTTAGCCACATGGGCTAATATACCAAAGAGATGGATATCTACAGCTGCCTGCCATTCAGAACAAAAAAGGGTGGATGTATGTGCCTTGCTCTGGATTGCAGTTTTCCAATGTACTTTCTATCAAAAACTGTATAAAGGAGATCCGCTGCAGCCATTTACTCTAATCCCATTCTCTGAATATAGTTTATTTTCTATATAAAGCACCAAATGGGAGAAAGTTTTCAACTGCTTCTCTCGAGTGTTACCTTTTCTGAAGTCACTGAAAAATTATCCTATCTGCATGAACATCACCCACAAACTAGTCTTCCAAGTTTTGTTTCAACAACAATCTACACTGGATGAAACCATCTGTCTAATATATATTTTTTGGTCAGCCGAGTGTCTGAATTGTGGAAACCAATCACCATGCTAAACAGTATCCAAACCAGACTGAGAGCTCCACATAAAGTGGAAAAACCTTTTCAAAGTCAGATTTCCCATTGCCCCTCGATTGGACATCCAACTATGCAGTGAAAAGGGTCAGTGCTGCAGCAATCACACCGAATGACATTTCCTACAGGAATTATTATTGCTGAAGTAGCACAGAAATTTAGACGCCCATGCGAGCGTGCAATACCATAAGAAATTTATTTTTGTGATTTCCACTACAGTAATAATTGTAGCACTTTGGGGAAAAGTCAGAAGCAAAGTTAGCTGTTTTGCAGATATACATTTCTAACCTTTCCCTTCCCAAATTCCCCCACTGAAATGCAGAGGCAATGTAAAAGCAACAGAGGTTCAAAATGTGTGGGGCAAGTGTTTAGCACTGCCTTTCAACCTTCTGGATCCGCCATATAAAAGCAGCATTAAACAAAGATAGATACTTGGGAAGTAAAGAAATGAAGAAATGTGATTAAAGATTTGCCACATGCTAATAATAGTCCAGAGCTAATGAACAGGTTACAGTACAAATGTTATATTCCTCTTTGTAAATACAGCATCATTTTACTAAATAACTTTCTTGTTGCCGGAATCCCTCCAACTCGCTTGTTCCCTCCCTACCTTCGTAGCTCGTTTCAAGAATTTTGTCTTTTGAATGCACTTTGAATCATCTTTCCTCTCCCCCACTGACCTCAGCTCCCACCCTCAGGTACCCAGCCAGCAGTGTAAAGTGCTTTGGGACATCCTCCCGATGTGAAAAGAGCTCTATAAATGTAAGTTGTATTGTACTGTAAACATTATGGATTATAATTCGGTTCAGCGAGTAGAATACTCTCAAATAATTAAGAGGTCTAGAGACTCTTTTCCTCCTCCTTAAAATATTGTTCTGCTGAACACAATGAGACACAGTATTTGTGATGATAACAGTAATAACTGAAACAACACCAGCAGCTAGAGTCAATTAAAGAATATTTGCAGGAAAAGTCAATCATTTGTAACTTTTTAGCCTCAGCATAATTTTCCTTGGTGAGTCACATCCTGTTATTATTTTGAGACATAAAATGAGCACAGGACTTGGTTTCAGGATATGCCTAATTTTAAAGTATGGCTTCTGTAAAGGACTTGATTTACAGTCACCACATAACCTGCAAGTGGCTAACTAATCCTGAAAACAATAAGGCCCCAAAAAGGTAAGAAGTTTAATATAAACTTAATAACAGGAATTCGATGGTAAGAATTAAGTCCTACGGGTTCAGAGCTCATGTCCTCTCCAGTACAAACTCCATGAACCGATCATCCCCGTCTTCGCCCGGCTCCATTGGCTCCCCATTCCTCAGAGGATTCAGTTGAAAATCCTAGTCCTAAATTTTAAAGATCTCCACAGTCATGCTCCTCCCTACCTTTGGGACTTATTAATACCACATCAACCTGACTACTCCCTCCCCTCGGCAGGCATGGCCTTGCTCTATGTCCACTACCCTGCCTGCCCCAACATTAGCAGTCAGGGCCTTCAGCTTTTCTGCCCCCACCTTCTGAAATTCTATTACAGAATCCCTCCGTCTTGCCCATCCCTCACCTTCTTCAAGGGCTGACTCAAGTCTTTCCTTTTTGATCATGCTTGTTAAACGTTTGTTTTGAACCTGCAAATTGCTTATCTCCAAAGAACCACATTACCAATGTTTCAACTGACCAAGGTTAATTCAAGTACAACACACCTGAAACAGGACACAGAATTAATACAACAAGCAAATTTATTTCTGCAAGTTACTTACTTTGCTCGTTGCCATTCCTGTTAAAATTGGCTAACTCAGTGAAGACTATGAATCAAATCTAGGAATTGCACGCTTGTGTGGAACACACTGCTCAATATTACACTTCACGGTACTTACAGCTTACCACCTCCTCTACCAATGCAATATTTCTCAGATACAGATTCTCAGAAGTGAATAATTATTCTATTAGAATTACAGATTGTTCAATAGAGATTGGAATAATATTAAAAGTTTGCTCAGGCACTGAAATAAAAGTTCCAGTGAGCATTGATAAAGACCGTAAAACTGTCTTATTTTACAGAATCATTAAAACTGCTAGGAATAACAACAAAATTACATTTGTATAGCGCCTTTCACATCAAGAAGACGTCCCAAGGCGCAGGACAGACAGAGTTTCAGACCCGAGCTGAGGATCGCGATGGGGGAGGGGGAAGGGCGGGGGGGAAGCAGGCCATGAAGGGCTTTGAAGGTGAGGACCAGGATCTTGAACTGAATCCACTGTGTGATGGGAAGCCAGTGAAGTCGGGCGAGAATGGGAGTGATTGGGTCACGGAGCCTGGTGCGGGTGATGACACAGGCTGCAGAGTTCTAGATGATCTGCAGCCTATGGAGGGAGAAGTTGTGGAGGCCGACAAGCAGGGAGTTTGCATAGTCAAGTCTGGATGTTATGAATGCGTGTATAAGGGTCTCGGTAGCCTGTGGTGTGAGATAGTGGCGCAGGTGGGCGATGTTGCGGAGGTGGGAGAAGGCAGAGCGGGTCATGGCATGGATGTGGATTAGAAAGGATAGCTGAGGGTCAAACAAGACCCCAAGGTTCCGGACTGGTTTAGCAAGGTGGAGTGTGCAACCATGGATGGTGATGCTGTCAGTGCCTGAGGTGGAAGGCACTTATGGGAGCCAATCAGGAGAGCCTCGGTCTTGTTAACGTTTAACTGAAGAAAGTTAGCTCTCATCCAGGACTTGATGTCTGATATTCTGTCTGGACAGCAGTGGTCCTGGAGTCGAGGGTGGAGGCAGAGAGATAATAATTGGATGTCATCCTCATACATGTGGAAGTTGACCCCATGTCTGTGGATGATGTCACCAAGAAGGAGCATACAGCTATCGATGAGGAACCAAGTATAAAAGATTAATCTGACTACCGTAAAAGAGGGAGCTCAGGTACATTAAGCACTAAACTATTCAATTGCATAGGCCAATGATTTTCACAACAAATTAGTTCCAGCCCATCATTCTCATGTCAGTAATAGACAGATGCAATGTAATAATAATGCATTGAAAAAATTATGAGAAATGCGAAATGAAATAATAATCATTGTATTTGATATAATTATTAAATTAATGTTCCGTTTTATATATTATTTATGTACTTCTTGAATCACTGGAATCCAAATCATTAGAAATGTATGGGACTTTGAATTTTTCCAGTGGACTTTTTGTTTAAAAAAACACATTTTAATGTTTGTGCCTATATCTTAGCCCCTCCTCGATTTTCAAAATCAACCTTAAAAGTGTTTGACCATGTTTTTGGCAACGTTTCCCTCCCCAGCTCCCCACCCCCAGCTCGAGCTCCAAATCAGTTGTACAAGACATCCTCCTAATATTAAAGTCCCATGTAAATATGAATTGTTGTTGTAATATGGCTTTGAGAAATCGTATTTGGCAAGTCAAAGAAAACTTGAAAAGTATGGTTGATGTGGAAACGTAGGACATTTATTGTTCATGGCACACAGTTGAAAAGGGTGTTTGGAAGCCGTTTTAAATAAAAACAATAATTTACTGGTTCATTTCCTGGTGTATGCTGAGTTAGCTGATCTAGGGTTGAGGGGGTCCTACAACTAACCTCAGCAATCCTGAATATGGAAACGGCGCAGTGGTGGGGGCGTTGAGAAAATCAATCTTTGATCCTGTTCTCAATGCATCCACTGATTCCTGCTGAAAATTGGGTGTATCCAGCAACAATTGGATTTGTCTTACCCATTTCCTAGGTCAAAAACCTGCCACCACTCAAGTATCTTGGCTCATACATGAACAACAACAAAATTACATTTGTATAGCACCTTTCACGTCGGGAGGACATCCCAAGGTGCTGGAAGAATGGCCTGAAAATGATTGCAGTATTCAGAATGTATGAACTGTGCTCGAGAATAAGTTAACAACTCAAGGAAGAACAAATAGACCTATCATAAAATTAATGAGAAATATGTATTTGCAACTCTGGTTTCACAGGAGCAGACTTTGATAAATGTCATAGATGAAACAAAGCTTATTCTAGGTTGTTAGAAGTATTCTTTCTATGGGCAATCTTAAATATATTTCAACTCATACGAGACCATCTGCTTAGAATTCTGTGAACAAAGGGTCAGGAAGTAAAGCATTACCTTTTATAATTTATTGCTTTTAGTGTTCCCACAAAGACTAATTGGAAAGCAACGTTAAACTCAGGGTCCCAAGAGGCTCACCAACAAAATGCTACTTGTGGCTGGAAAGCTAGATGGCAAAATCAGACAAACTATCATACTCGCTGGCAGCTAAGATTGAATTGTTGCTCCTCACACCAACTATGGACTCAGAACAAATAGAACTTCAATTATGCCACCACAGATCAGCTCAGAATTGGTAATTTTTGTCCTAAATTGTACAGGAGGTCATAATTATCCGGTAAGAGTTGATAGTACATTCAAACCAGTACCTCAGCCCATATAATTAAGTATCAACACACTCCCTGCCTTTCCAAGATTACTTAGGAAGTTTCTTCTTCCTGCAATAAATCTTTATGTTGGATCATGTTATTTTTGTTTGTAAATGTAATAATAATAATAATCTGTGCACATGCACATTATATAGCACTTTTCACATCGGGAGGATGCCTCAAAATGCTTCACGGAATTAACTGTAAAATGTAATTACTGTGTATTTGTAGACAAAGTAGTCTTTTGTACGCAAACAAAATAGTCTGTTGTAGCTTTTCATCCTTTCCTGAAGACATTTAACTCTTTTTTTCTTTCTATTGGAATAAGGTTCCATTCTCACTATGCATTTCCTGATACCTCCCCCAAATATTCTTCTTTGAGTGAGTAAGTGCTTGACAGCAAGTGTTTGCAGGCTATTCGACCACTGGGATCATTCATGTACACACAGCTCCAGAAAGACTAACTAGGTAACAATTACCTGAAAGAATCCTAGCTGATTTTTCCTTGCCTAACCTGGGACACTAATGTCAACTGGATGGTACTTAAGAGTTACTCTCGCTGAGAGCAGTTAACTCCAAAGCAGACAGAGTTCCACGCATGCCATCTACTCATGGAAATTCCTCTGTCTCAAATGGAATAAACACTCTTTTCCTGGAGAGATGCACCCAATTTAATAATTCCATAGAATATTAGGTGCAGGTTTGCAAAGCCAAGGCTTGGTGTGAGTTTGAGTCCTGCTGGAGATTAACCAGTTAAAACCACATAGCTTGCCATTGGAAGCACTGTCTGTCAAGAGCATTGGCTGCAAATGTGATACTGCATTCTACATGGAAGAGTTTTCAATGTGCTGACTAAGACCTCTCCGCTGGCTTCAACACTGTTGACCACCCTATCCTCATCCACCACCTCTCCTCTCACCTCAACCTGCACCTCAACCTGAACATCGCCCGGCTCCGTCATTGTATCACACCACAGGCCACCGAAACCCTCATACACACATTCGTTACATCGAGGCTTGACTACGCAAACTCTCTGCTTGTCGGCCTCCCCAACTCCTCCCTCCATAGGCTGCAGATCATCCAGAACTCTGCAGCCTGTGTCCTCTCCCACACCAGGCTCCGTAACCCTTTCACCCCCATCCTCACTCGACTCAACTGGCTTCCCATCACACAGAGGATACAGTTCAAGATCCTGTTCCCATCTTCAAAGCCCTCCATGGTCTTGCTCCCTCCTACCTCTGCGACCTCCTAACCCCCTACCATTCCGCCTGCTCCCTCCACTCAGCGGGCTCCAGCCTGCTTCACATCCCCCGCCTCACCCGCCCCAACATCGGCGGGTGTGCCTTCTGCCACTCTGCCCCCATCCTCTGAAACTCCATCCCGCAGTCCCTCCACCTCACCCCCTCGCTTGGGTTATAATTCAACCCCCATCTCAAGACCCTCCTCTTCGACCGTTCTTTCGATCACTCTGTTTCCTCCCTTGCCCTCCACCTTCCCCAATCCCGACCCCCAGCTCGGGTCCGAAACTCTAACTGTCCAGCGCCTTGGGACTTCCTCTCGACGTGAAAGGCGCTATACAAATGTAATTTTGTTGTTTTTTATACCACTTTATTTGTTTTGATACATCCTACCATAAAACTATCACACCACCTGAACTGCACAGGGAGAATTAATGTCCCAGCAAAACTTCCCAGGTAATCTTGGTACCTGAGCTCAGTGTAAAATGCATCACAAACACATCTTCCCAATTCACATTAAGTTTTTTACACCAAGTCTATACTGTAAGATACAGCATATGAAAGACATTAGTTAAGTGTGGAGATGCACGAGGCACAATGAATTGACTTCTGTGGTTCAAAACAATCTTTCAAAAATGTAAAAGAAATTACATTAAATGAAGTGCTCAAGATAAGGATCACAGGTGAGGGACAAAACAAATAAAGTGGTGCAAACAACAACAACAAAATTACATTTGCATACCCATTGATATTAGCTATTAGATCTGCAGCTTATGGACTACTAGCTAGCTGGTTTGATGCCTGCTCTATGCTGAATTTGCTGATCTCAGAGCTGTGTGGAGAGGGGGGAAACATACTGGGGTTCCTGGTCCCTCTACAGCACCCTCTAGTGCCTGTGGCAGCCTGGTAGGGAGAGATCAGGCTCGGCTGTGATTATCCACAGTAATTACCTTCTACAGTTGAGTGGCCTGCCAACACTTACTGCTAAGGCTCACACACGTACAATGGCCATTTAAGAGGGGGACCAAAGGGCAACCAGTGCCTGTGAAACTTCACCCCAGCAAGAGGGGCCAGGCCAATGGGGAGAATACAAATCACAGAAGAATTTCAAATAAATAAAACCTTTTGTCCATTTGATCTCAGCCAAGCAAGACACAATGATACGCAAGGGAGAAGGGAATAGAGTGGTATAGGTGAAGGGAAAAGGAGAGGCGGGACTTGTGTGGAGTATAAACACTGGCCTGGCCTGGTTGGGTGAAATGGCCTGTTTCCATGCCTATGTAACACTGAATTTTGGAAAACTCTTGAAACTTAGTCTTAACCTTCTAAATCACTTAATTTGGAAGCTGGTTTTCTGTGATTTTTAAAACATCTGCAGAAAGAAAGCTGGCTTTCAAATTAGGGCCAAATTTAAGAACGTTGCAAATTCTATATGATGCTCTTAAGGTTAAGACCACTTTCTAAATATACTTCCAAGGGCTTAAATATAGGAGTACGAGAAATGCTAAGAATTGTTTTGCCTCAGGACATTGAATGCCTGACAATGAGAAGGGATTGAACCAGTCACTTCTAATTGGTATTGTACAACATTTTGCGAAGGTTAAAAACAAGTAGTTTCTCGCATTTCTCTAAATACTACTCTCAATACCTCACTTTTCTATTAATATTCAGGGTCCTTGTTATGATTCAAACGAGGCAATAACACAAACTGTTTTCACAAAACCCAATAACAACAACAACTTGGATTTACAGAGCGCCCTCCACACTGGACGGCGTCTCAGAGTGCTTAAATAAGTGTGGCCAGAATGAAGAGACCCACTTGTATAAGCAGTTTTAACAGAGTTTTAACAGTTTTTTTATTATGTCACAAGATTATATTTTAATGCATAACTGACTTTAATAAGAATTGCCACAAAAACTTACCCCTTCTTGACTCTCGCAAAGTCAAATGCCATCTGTCTATACGAATATGCCTTTTCATTTAAATATCTGCTGTATCGTCTAATGAATGTAGACATATCATAACCTGCAAGAATTAAAATAGAGATGCTGGTTAAGACATGTTTAATTTAACAGAAGAGTCCAGAATATTTTTTATTTCCACCATTTTCGTTCAAGATTTAGCTACTGTCTTTTAAATTACCCAGGTTATACAGTAAAACTCGCATAAGATTTATATTTATAAATCATATAATCGCCTAAGTTGTACATTCACCTGGGTCACATTCAGTTTCCTATTAAAACCACTTAGATTTTTACCTACCCCCCATTACTCCCACACTTATCAGCTGCATTGGCGCATGTGCACTTACAGGCTGGCTGCACTGAATCTCAGGAAATGCGGTCTTGAGCCATCACCTTACCGCCTGCAGCGACAAACTATTCACTTACCAGCTGCATTGAATTATGTTGCGCAGTGCAGAATATTGATTAAAACGGATTGTATACAACTTATACAGTGTGCTTGCAGCTCGGATTCACGTAGGTCATATCAAATGTTATGCCCTCTCGTTTAAGGAATTCTATCAGATCCTTAAAGAGACATTCTCGATGTATGTCTCTGACTTATACTTTCATCAGGAATGTGTGTCAGTGTAAATAATCCAGTGCCAAGCCAAGTCAGCAGCAATATCTCCTAGACTGAGATAATCAAGTAGTTCTGTTCAGAAGAGCCAGTGTCCCTGATGACTTTCATTAGCGGGATATTGTCCATTTTCATTACAGCTAATTGAACGACTAAGGAACATTGTACATTTCAATTCATCTCAATTACATTTACACAATGCATGCATTAACAGCTCCCAGCACGATCCTTGTAAAAGCCACACAAAATATGATGATGATGAAAATTTGGTGAAGATCCAATACTGCTTTTGATTCATTTTTAGGAGTTAATCAGTCCAACAGCAAGAAGTTGCATATATAGCACCTTTTGCTTAGGATAAGACCTCAAAGCACTTTACAGAAATGAAGTTGGACACCAAGCAAGGGAGAAGGAGTAGGGTGAGAGGGAGGTGGCCACGTATATTCATGGATACATATGTGGCTGGAGCTTCTAAAGTGGTCATTTTTGAAAGAAAGCAAAAGACTGAGGTGTTTTAAGCACTTATACCTTTGGAGAAAAGATGAAGCATTTGAATTTACAGAAGTAGCAAATACCAAATTCATAAATACCAGCAATGTAGATTTCCAACATGTCAATTTTTAAAAGTAACCTAGAATCTGATATGAGTGTAATCAGGATCGGTAGAAATTTACTGATGTGTCCATTTACTTTTCAATGGCAATGTGTAGCTTCTCGCAATTCTTAGAATCCCACTTCCAGATGTAAAATGAGATTGATCAGAGAAGAACAACAAAATAAGTCACTTGATTTGATGCTGGGGCTGCTCGCACATACATCACCAATTATAAATGTATAAATAGAACACAGCTGGTTCCCAGGAATTCCCTTTTAGAAACAATTATCCAATGCAGTGGTTTTGTCCCAGAATTATGAGAGGCAGGATCAAGGTCACTGCTCTTTTGGAAACCTCGAAAAAAGTAAAGAGAAAACATGGTGAAGTAGGTCTATGAAACAGAATCAAATTGCCTGCAGCAAAATCTTAATTTTGTTTAGCATTAGATTTATAATTCACAGCACACAGGAAACCCATTAAAAGAAGCACAAACAAACAGTTTCAGCTTACATTTACCTCTCCAAAATACAAAATCATTCAAATGCTGGATTGCATCTTGAGGACATTTCACTGCGAGTAAAACGTATTTGTTTTACCATTGTAAAGATCCCAGGTGGAATATTTGTGCCCAATATTTGGAGTATAGGGAGGGGAACGTGATGCATGCAGTATAATCTTATGGAACTTCATTCCACATTTCCTTCAACTCACTCCCTCTCTTGCCTCCTTCAGGACCCATGCCTCAAGACCCTCCTCTTCAACCACCCTCCTATTCCTCACGGCTCGGGTCCTAATCCCTGACTATTCAGCGCCTTGGGATGCCATCATGACATACATGAAAGGCGCTTTACAAATGTAATTTTGTATTGTATAACACATCACAGTCACATAACTGGCGATAAATAAAAAGAAGACAAAGGAAACCCTACAAATGTTGTCCATGTGATAGTTTCCAACTGAATAGCAACATAGGTTTTGCACAACGTTGCTAGATAGTCTCATAAAAATATTTCTAAAACTAAAACATTTAAGTTAAAAAAAACTAGAAGCTTGGATTAAAAAAAAGATTAAAATTCAACACTTCGCTGATCCAATTGTAGAAGCACAGAACTTTACAGCACAGAAGACAGCTATTTGGCTCATCGGGTCTGTGCTGGCTCTTTCAGTCCCATTTACCTACTCTTTCCCCAAGCCCCTGTAGTTTACTCCTTTTTAGATATTTATCCAGTTTCCTTTTGAAAGCTAATATGGATTCTGCCTCAACTATAACTCCTGGCAGGAAATTCCGCATCCTAATGACGTGCGTGAAATAAATTCTTCCAACCTCCCACCACAAATCAGTTGGCTGGAGAAAACATGCTCTATAAGTCCATTTTTTGTTGGGGAGGTTAAAGGTCAGGGTTCAAACCAGTCACTAAGTGCAAGACAAAAATGACCATAAATTCTGTCTTAATGATAATTATTAGAACACGTGCTGTGAATCCCCCCCCACCCACCCCCCCACTGTGTGCAATAAGTTCCAAATTGACTCGTTTGCAGAATGTTATGAAAAGAACAACTGGAATAAGGAATGCAAGATTTAAGGCTCTAACTTTTCGGGAGAGATTAGCTTAGCAAAACTCTTTTTCATCAGAGAAAAGATTCAGTGGAAACAGAAATCAGGCCTTGATAAATGCCTGCACAAATACAGTTCACACAAATGTAAGCAGACTAGTTGACTAAACTGTGACTGCAGAAATGAAGGACACAGATTTATAAGCAACAAAATAAGACTAAAGAATCTGAATACATTTCTATGTCCAATAAAGTAGCAGATACTTAGGACCATCACCGAACACAAGCACCTGAGGCTTAGCTGCGTTTAAAATGAGTCCCAGTGTTCTGGCCTCGGCCACCTTTCCTGGTAACCTGTTCCAGTGGTTGCAATGGAAGTAAATACATCTTTCAAAAGTTATTCAGGAAAGAAAGCAGGATAGGAGAAAGGTGAAAGGTTTTCAGTATAGGTAAGGGACACATGGGAGATTAAGATAGTTGAGTCAGCATCACAATATCAATCATGATATAAAACTCTCTCGTTAGTAGGTAAAACAGATTTACAAAGCTTTCTGGGGAACATGATAGGGTGAACATTGGGCTGAATACAAGGCAGCATGGAAAAGGTTAAAAAAAAATTGGGGGAGTGAACCAACAACAACAACAACAACAAGATTCCATTTATAGAGCGCCTTTCACGTCAGGAGGACGTCCCAAGGCGCTGCACAGTTGGGTCATGACCCGAGCAGGGGGGAAATGGTCAGGGTGAGGGGAGGGAAGGGAGGGAGAGAGGAGGGGGGAAATGGTCAGGGTGAGGGGAGGGAAGGGAGGGAGCGAGGAGGAGGAAGAGAGTCGAGAGGGGAGCTGAAGGCACGGTCAAAGAGAAAGGTTTTGAGACCGGCCTTGAAGGAGGAAAGGGAGGAGGCGGCGAAGGCACTGAGGGATAGAGTTCCAGAGCCTGGGGGCTGAGAGGCTGAAGGCCCGACCACCGATGGTAGGGCGGTTGGGGCAGGGGACGTGGAGCAGACCGGAGCCAGAGGAACGGAGGGTACGGGCAGGTAGGTAGGGGGATAGTAGGTTGGAGAGGTAGGAGGGAGCAAGGCCGTGAATGGCCTTGTAGGTGAGGATGAGGATCTTGAAATCAATCCTCTGGGGATGGGGAGCCAGTGGAGGCGAGCGAGGGTGGGAGTGATGTGATCGCGAAGCCTGGTGCGGGACAGTACACGAGCTGCAGAGTTCTGAATGACCTGCAGCTTGTGGAGGGAGGTGGCGGGAAGGCCGGCGAGGAGAGAACCAAGAGGAAACTGGAAAGAAATAGCAGCAAATGCAAATCACAATACTAAAAATAGTAAGTGGATTGTCAGAGAAGGTATTGAAATGCTATGGAACTTGGAGTGGGTTGAAAAAGACAGGAACAGGAGACAAAACAGTGATTAAATGATACTTTCAGGAGTTTCAAAAAATGTTTTACCAGGCAGAACAGTAAAAACATAGGGCTGTTAGTCAACTCATGACCAAGTCAAAACAGCGTGAGACAGTGACAAACAAGGTAAACAAGATGCTGGGCTATATTACCATATAGTTGAGTTCGGATCTCAAGAAGTCATACTGAAGCTACAGAATGCTCTGGTGAGGCAACACCTGGAGTCTGGTCACTGTCGCGTGACCAGACTCACAGGCACAGCCCAGGCACGAGAAGCAATGCAGTGGAGAGGAACAAGGATGATCTCCATTGTTTTTATGTCTAATCACGTCTTCGAGAAGTCTCAAAGTGCTTCACTTTGTAAACTGAATTGACTGTATATTTTGTCGGTGAAACATGGCAGCCAATTGCACACAGTATTAGTATACCAAATGCATTCTTACAGCAACTGAAACCCTTTTAAGATTAGCGGTTCCTGCTCTTAAAAACAAAACTGCTGATTTACTTACCATGTGTTCCACTTTTATCTAAGAAATTGCTGAGGTTGAACAATGTATTCCTAGAAGCCAGGTACTGAATAAATCTCTGCAAAATTAATGTACACATGTGTTAAATTCATGAAAAATAATACTTTGTTTAAAAAGAAAATACACTGCATGAGAAAGGTTACACAGAACAAGGTTATATCATATATATCATATAAGGTTAGACAACCATTGCTAACAGTTGATTATATGTTTGACACTGTATTTCTACTTTCAATGATAGCATTTGAAAGTCCAATTATTTTAACCCTTACTATGCTGAACAGCAATTATGGACTTAATCATAGGCTTTTCGTGAAAGTCATTTGTTAAAGTGATATGATCTGATTGCTGAATTAGTAACACATTTGTACCAGATTGCTCTATTTCCCAGAGCATTTAGTTTATTAGTCTTTACAAAAGAGTAAAGGTCAATGAAAACACCAACAGTAATCTTAAAAAGTTATAAACAATGGAATAACAAACAGTAGAATGAAGACTTTACTGAAGCAAGCAGAAGCACTGAAATCAATTTGCTTTGTAATTACTCAAGGATGAGGGACATGAGACAGGAAAGTCCAGTCTTTCATGCCATGAACAAAAGCCTCAGCCTCTTGAGGACTGTTATAACTCATACAGATGCTGCATCTCGGGGTACTAATCCAAGAACAAACATAACACAGCTCCTTGTCTTTACTGTAATAAAGAGCGACCCAGTTATAAGGCTGAATTATTCTGAGTCTGTGCAATATTGAAAGTGTGGCACATCCGAAATCTGGCGCTGACTGGCCGATTTTCAGCACTACACCATGGCCACCCCTGGATCTTCAGATCATTACTGATGTCATCCCCTGTCCTCTATCCTATTTTCTCCTTTGTCTTCCTTGCCCTGCCTCCCCCTTCTCTGTTAGTCTTTAAAAACATCTCCCTCCCAAGATGCCCCAGTTCTCAAGAAGAGTCGTGGACCGGAAACGTTGACTCACTTTCCTTTCTCCATAGATGCTGCCTGATCTGCTGAGTGTTCCCAACGACTTCCGTTTTTGTTTCAGATTTCCAGCATATGCAGTATTTTGCATTTCATTTTAATATGGGTCTGACTCAAACCACCATTTTTTAAACAGGGTTTCCTTGTACTAATAACAATCGTTGCGATTGATATTGCATCTATAATGTTGGAAGGTTTCAAAGCAGATAGTTTCCGTCGAGAGTTGCAACTGTTGCATTTATTAGCCCACAAATGCCTTAGAAGACTCACCCTCTATTCAGAGCATCAAGCAGACTTTTAAATAAATCTAGCCTCAACCACTCTTCCCAATGGGGTCGAGAGATTACTCTCTGGTTAAATAAATACTTCCTGATACCTGTCCTGATATTGCCCTTTGCAACTATAAACCTATGTCCTCTTGTTCTGCTCTCTAGTGCAATTAAAAAGATGGACTTTCACCCAAGTTCGAACAGAGGACATGATGACATGCTGAAGTATACAATGGTCAGGCACGATTTGGATTGCTGCATTCAGTTCTGGTTGCCTTAAGACAGGGTGGTCCAACTGGCTGCCCACAAGTCGATTTCATCCACCCACCCCCTCCATTTCATCTGATCCACCCGCTCCCTCCATAACTCCTAAATGTTGTTGTTGTTATGTTTCTGGAATAGAAAAATATTACTTTTGTAGCCTGAAGACATTTCTTAAACAGGGCAATCAGCCCTCAACAGCCAAAAGTTGGACTGCCCTACCAAAAGATAAGGCTGTGCAGAGTATAACAAGACATAACTCAATTTGGAGGGGACTTACTGCAAGAGCACATAATCTTTAACAGGATAGAGATTCAGTTCACTAACCAGCACAATCAGAGGGAACAGGTTCAAGGCTGAGAAGGGCAATATTAGGACAGACAGCAATATTTCTTTGCAAAGAAGGTGGAATAGGTTACTGGGATGTGTGATTGAGACCCGGATATTAAATTTGATAAATAATCCATCTGTTTACTGCAGCGGGGAAACTGGTAGGATTGTTATTGGAAACTGTCAAACCTCATTCGGAGTACTGATCAGTTCTGGGCACCCAATCTTAGGAAGGATATCCTAGCCTTGGTGGGTGTCCAACAACAGTTCACTGGATTAACACCTGGTTTTAAGGATTTAGCTGAAATAAGAGGCTGGGTAGATTGGGTTATATTCTAACAGAGTAGGTTGATTGGTGATTTGGTTGAGGTATTTAAAATAATTAAAGTATGTAACAGGTTAGGTTGTGGTGACTACCCTCTGTTAGAGGGATTCATTACATGGGGAGATCAGAACTAGTATAGTTAGAACTGAGATCTGGAAGCATTTTTGTGGAGTCCCATAGCATATTGGTTAGAGCACTTGGATGACCTGGGTTTGATTCCAGGGCAGGGCAAAATCTTTGACAAGTTTCCTTAATCCACTCGCCTCTGTTTTCCCAGCAGCAAGTAGGAATCTGTCTGTTAGTCGATTGGTGGATTGCTTTTCAGGGGTGTAATATTCCCTTTAAAAATAATACCGATAATTTGGTCACTCAATCCATGACAGTGGGACACTGCTGTGCGCAATTGGTTGCCGTGTTTTGCCCACAAAATACAGAGTCAAATTTACTTTACAGTATATTCCGTGAAGCACTTTGAGATGTCTCAAAGATGTGAAAAGGTGCTATATCAAATGCAAAGATTAGTATTACTATTAAGATGTGTGATGCTTTTCCCCAGAAAGCTGCAGAAAGAGGCAAAATCAATTGTGATGTTTAAAAGAATATAGTTCTGAATTATTTTTGTTCGAACATTTTCATATTTACAAAATATAGCACATTTTTGGTAACAATATCAAAGCTGGGGGCATTGCAAGAAGCTAATTTTACTATTCTATTGAATGCTTCTATGCTTCCACAGATTACATCAGCAAAAACCTAGATCCGTGCTGCATCAACTGTGATTTCATCTCCCACTGAGAATCCATCTGTTTCCTTACACTACATATTTAGCAGCAGAACGCAAATGTCTATCCCAGCAGTACTGAATGTAAAATTTGAGAATCAGTGAATGTTATTTTGCTTCCTCAAAACTCATTCTAAAGTGTATACCTTTACTTAAATACAATCTGCAGGCACAACCCAAATGTTATGATTACTTGCTGTAAATGAGGGTCGAGTTACACCTGGACATATATAGATCTAACTACAAACCTTTTGTTCTTTGCCATCTGTTTTCCACAACATCTCAAGCTTTGAAAGCAAGCATACTGCAACATAATTTTCTTTGGCCATCCTGGTGTCTGACACATGAGGAAGAAACCCATCACCAGACTGAGAGTTTCACATATGCATGCCATCTTATGCATTGAAATTGTCCTGCGTCTGGAATGGAGTGAGCCCTCTCTACCTGGAAGGACATACTCTCCTCAATTAATGGCTTTGAACTCACATAGTCTAGACTGACACTCCAATGCAGCGCAACATTTCAGAAGTGTCCTCCTTTGAGGGAGACATTATAAACTATGGTTCGTCAGATTGTCCAGGTCATCATTAAATATCCCATGGTACTATTTGAAACAAGAATTAAGTTTCTTCCGGTATGCTACAATCCCCCAAATGTGTTCATGTCTGGATTCACGTCATGGCTGGATGAATGCTGGACACTGGTGTGTACAAATTGGCTGCACAAAAATTGGCTGGCATATTTACCTTATAAAATACAGTCATTAGACTTTCCCATGAACCATTTTGAGATGCTTAATTGGTTCCACACATATACAGAACCGATGAAAAAACAACTTGCAATTTTCAATGCTGAGGGGAAAGGAGCAGTGGTTAGGAGCTCAGTGCAGGGTGGCATGGGGTCAAGAGACCAGGTATAGGTTTCATCTGATTGATGAGGGTTTTGAGGCATGACGTAGAAATGGGGGCAAAGGAATGAGGCAGTAACTAATGGTTACACATGTAGAAGAGGAAATAGGGTTCTGGAAGATGAAGATTGAGGAGTGGGGGGGAGTGGAAGCAGCTAGTTGATGTTGGTTTATTTTCGATGTGAAGAAGTTCAGGACATCTTTGCATTTGGTATCTGAGGTAAGGATAGACGGTGCCTGGGAAGGTGATATGCGGTGGAAAAACAGGAGCTTGGAATTGATTTGGGCCCCAAGATAAGTAATGAAGATAGATTGGAGTAAAACACGTTTGGCTTTTTTGAGGGAGACGCGATAAGTTCAGAGGTATTCAAGCCAGATCTGGCAGTGAAACACGAGGCTAGTTTTATGGCCTTGGATTTGAGTGTAGATGACAGTTGTGGATTTCGGGGGGGGGGGCGAGTGAGTTTAGGGTGGAGGAGCCAATGCCAGTTAGCAGCTTGACAGGTAAAAACAGCTGTCATCACCCCCATCTTGAAAAAACTTTCCCTGGACCCCATCCCTACTCTCCAGCTACCGACCCATCTCTAACCTCCCATTCCTCTCCAAGGTCCTGGAATGAGTCGTCGAGTCCCAGCTCTGCTCCTTTCTTTCTCGCCATTCCCTCTTTGAACCCTCGTACCTCTCCGACTTACTATCCCCCTACCTACCTGCCCGTACCCTCCGTTCCTCTGGCTCCGGTCTGCTCCACATCCCCCGCCCTAACCGCCCTACCATCGGTGGCCGGGCCTTCAGCCTCTCAGTCCCTAGGTTCTGAAACTCCATCCCCCAGTGCCTTCGCCGCCTCCTCCCTTTCCTCCTTCAAGGCTGGTCTCAAGACCTTTCTCTTCGACCGTGCCTTCAGCTCCCCTCTCGACTCTCTACCCCCTCTTCGTTCCCTCCCCTCCCGCCCCTCACCCTGACCATTTCCCCCCTGCTCGGGTCCCGACCCAACTGTCCAGTGCCTTGGGACTTCCTCCCGACGTGAAAGGCCCTCTATAAATGAAATCTTGTTGTTGTTGTTGTTAATCTTCACGGACCTGCCCTTGCCTGGTTCAATTCCTATCTCTCTCACCGTCTCCACTTTGTTGCCTCTAACGGTTTCTCATCCAGCCCCCGCACTGTCACGTCTGGCGTCCCCCAGGGCCCTGTCCTTGGCCCTCTCCT